ATTACATATTTTTAGCAATAAGCGTTATTTTGCTCTTGGCATGATTTCTCAGTAGATGTAAAATAGGTTTGCTTTAGGATATCAAAGCTATAGATAAAAACCAGTTATTGAGGCTAAAAGTTGAAATTCCAATAACGCTGTAATTATGATTCATTGCCTGCAGGTTTGTTTTTTGTTGCATATATTCTGCCTCAGGACCATATCTTACTTAGATCCACTGAAATCTATGTGAGATCTTATGTTGAGCAAGCGATTGGCTTTAACACAATACTGTAAGGTTTTAATTTGCCCTATTTTCACAGGACAAATTAACAATGCCTTGATCTAAATGCTTTCCTTAACGCTTTGTTGAAAGATAAAATACTTCCGGCAAATAGAAATAGAAATAAACTCTATTCTATCAGTATTTTTTTCCCTGATAGGTCTGGGTCATTGTCAAACATAAATACCAAAATATTCATTGGAGCCCAAAAATGAAATGAGACTGGAGTTATATCTGTACTTGTTTATGGAGTTATTAGGAGGTCTGCTAAGTAGTGCTTTCACTGGTATTATTTCATTATTTGAATTAAACCAGACATTCATGCAGCTGTCATTCAGAAGGACAGATAGCAGAAACGTGCCAAATTTTAAGCATCGCCCTGCATGCCAATAAACGATCAATGATAGGCCTTATTAACCCATTATGTTTTAAAATACAAGACAGAGGCTTTCAAATATGGCAAACCGGCAACTATCATGCAGAAAGATTACAAACCCGTTAAAAAAAAAGCAGTGGATTTAAGGTTTACTAACACATACAATCACTTAATAGATTTGAATATATTTTTAATTTACAGATATTGCTTATTTTTGATACCACATAACTTCTGTTAGTGGATTCAATGTATATCCCAAGGTGGTTTGCATATTTGAACCTTCCCCCTGCATGTTTAAACTTACTGCATCCTTCCTAATATTCCCAATATGAATCCTGCATATATCTACAGAAAACAATGAATCAAGAATGAACAAAACATAACGATGACAAGCTTTTAGCATTTTCATTCCCTGGGGTAAGGTCACATGCGCAGAGGTCAAACCTCCTCTGCCCAAGAAACCTTTTTGTAAAATTGATAATAATTACACTTTTGTCGCAGTATTAATATTTATTAGTCAAATAATGCTTCTCATGCGGGGCATTTAAAGTGTTTTTTTGCCAGTGGACTGAAATATATAAGACAAGCGAAATATTACATGCCCCTACCTTTGGCGACAGACAGGGTGGGAGAGTTTGCGTTGTCCTGCTTGTGGCTGTGTGTCTTGTTCATCTTGACTGAGGTAGAGTGGTCTTGTCCAGCAGTCTGATAGAGCCAATCTGAGTGGCTCATAAATAGTTTCTTGAATTCAGCATCCCTGATCATTGTCCAGGTTTACAAAGGATGGACAGGCTGGTACTGTGATCTCATCTCATTCCTTATTCTACTTTCAAACATTATTTGCTTCCCATCTGTCTTTCTAAGAATTCCATTCATACAAAGGTTTGTTGCCAAAACAGATAGAAAATACCCCTGGGGTAATTCAGTGCATCTCTCTCTTCTATAGATTTCATAATATATACGACTAAATTTAGCTAATATATATATATATATATATACAAACACACACACACACATACACACATGTGTGACATCTGTACATGTCTGTCTAAAATCAAAAGTCGAGATTTCGAGTCTTAATACAAGAAACACATCAACTACAGTTCTGGCGTCATCTGAGTGCCCAAGTGTAATACTGATAACATTTAATTTTTTGGCAATTTTTAAGACTTTGTTTTTCAAGTAAAATTAAATAATAATAATAATACTAATATAAAATTAAATTATACTGCATGTAATAAAAATAGATATCGGTACACATACAAATGCCATTATAATTCTCCTGATAAAACACTTTCTAAAATAATTGATCATAAAGTCGAATATCAATGCATCCCAATATATTTTGTACTTGAAGTTTAAAATTTTGCAATAAAGTCACACTGTGATTTGAAGCACTATTACAGTAAGTACAGGCAGCCTATATTCTATTTGCATAGAGTAGAAATGCAAGTTTGGTGTAAGAGTTAGGATAGGACACATAAAACTGAATTAAATCCATTTGCGTATATTCTTTACTGTCTTACCAGTCTAGTTTAAATGCATATGAATGAATATCATTTTTCTTACACTACCCAGAATATGTATTTATAGATATATTATTTTTTTTTTTTTAAAAACTTTTATCTTAGAGACCATGGTTCATCAAATATTTATTCTACATAAAAAAAAATAAGAACAAGCTTGCCACTTCTCCATAATTTTTTATATAATAGATATTAAATCTGATATACAATTTGTATTATTTCACTTTTCAAAAAAAGATCTTTATTAAAATCCCAATTGGTAGATAAGGTGAAAATACAGTACAACTAATTTTATTATAAACTGTATAATTTAGTAAAAAAAAAAAAATTAAAGTACGTGAAATCTGGTTAAGTCATCCTGTAATTTCTTTGTTCCAAATAGAACTTCCCATCTGACACAAGGAGTGTGAAATATAACCCTGAGACTCAATTAGAGTTTGATTAATTGAGCCACGCGTTCAGCTTGTGGAGTGTAGGTCATTACCATGAGACATGGTTGAAGGGTTCATCTGGTGCAAGCTTCCTTCTCCTGCATAGCCTACACCCTCAGCAGATGGGGAGTTGTATGGACCACAAAGGAATTGTTTATTCTCTCATTGTTGCTCACTCAAGTGATCACAACAAATCCATTACCCACGCATAAAAAGATCAGTAGCACCTCCATTCAACACTGAATGAGACTCATGTTGTACTGTGGGGATTTAATGCTTTAATGCTTTAATGGTCATACACATGATATGCACTGTCAGTGCAATGTACAGCAAATTAAAGTATTTTATGTGTCTGCGATGACTTGGGTACATCTCGGTAAGACATAAAAATGATCATTGCAACAAAGTGAACTGTCTGTTAAACTACACCCCTAATGATTCCAAATGAAGAATGGGGGCAACATGTGCTGTGATTTAAAACAGTTAAGAGATCAATTATACTGTTAAAAAGTGACAATAAAAATCATATGTTTATACCATTATTAGTTTGCGGTTTATTGAATAACTGGTGTTTTATGGATTATTATTATTATTATTTTTGTGATATAAATTGTTATTGCGATAAATATTAAATCTGATATTCTGATTTCTAGTAAGACAGGTTTTTATCAAGTAAAATAGTAACAAAAAAAAAAAGAATGTTTGAAAAGTTTGTTAATGATTATCATTGGGTTCTATGACAAACCATGTGTCATAGTGTAGTTTGCACCAAACCTTTTTACAGTTCTGGCTCTCCAATTATACTTAAACTTAGAATCTAGAGGCAAAAGGATGAAGGATGACAGAGAGAAAGACAAAGAAAAAACAAATCACTCAACTGTCCTAATTTAGCAAGGTTTCTTGGATTATTCTGTTAAACTAGCTTAGTGTGTGCACCTTAACATTCTTGTTGATACATATTGCACAGGAAAAAATGTGACATGCAAGGCCCCACAACAGCTACCTTTGTCAACCAAAAAGAGTTTGTGATCAATCTGTGTGTCTGTCTTTCTCTTTCTCTCTATCTATCTCATACACAAGAGGAAACTGTTCTGCCTGAGTCCAAGGATGAAATGCTGCCCCCGCCAACAAAACTATGTGCACCAAAACACTTCAACATCCATTACGTTATGTAGTGTGTGTAGTGAATGCAGTGTGTGTAGTGAATGCAGTGTCTGTGTAGTGCATGCAGTGTGTATATTGGGTGCAGTGTGTGTAGTGAATGTATTGTGTGAGTGTGTATAGTGGATGCAGAGTGTGTATTTGTGTAGTGGATGCACTGTTTGCAGTGGCTGTGTGTCTTGCATGCAGTGTGTGTAGTGAATGCATTGCGTTGTGTGTAGTGAATGCATTGCGTTGTGTATAGTGAAGGCAGAGTGTGTGCTTCTTTTTCTGTTTCACCTCCCCTTTGTGTGTCTCTTACTCCCCCAATCCCCTTTGTGTGTGTCTTTCTCCTCCCAGCCCTATGTATGGATACATGGACGGGCCAGCCCTGCATACAGTGTATATACGTTGTTATATTTTACTGTATAAACAGAAGAACCCAACCACTTTCTAACCCGAGAGCCATATCCCTGTACACCCACCTTTGCATGCATCTGCTATAGAGGTTGGTGATTCTTGGATGAACTCAAATAAAAAGTGTTTCTCTATAGCAATAGTACTGATTAAACTTCTAGTAATTAACAGATGTAATATATATGACTTTGTAATGATTTTCTATGAGAGAGATATTTAGCACACACAATACCCACTGGCACAGACAGTAGGAAGCATTTGGAGATGGGCCTATAGCAATTAAAATAATAAAAAGAGAGAAGGGAAACATTTAACGAACATTAATTGCACCATAACCTCATCAAGCAGTACACACTATTAGGGTGTTCGTTTAGAGGGTTTGTTTATGTTTAAATTGTTTACAGAGTGAGAAATAGCATTGTAATAAATGTAAATCAGTACAATTTACAGCACAGACTCACTGACGTTACCCAGAATTAAAGGGAAAATCTTACAAAATGCATATTTTAATGCAAATGGTTAAGACATTAATAAAAATATCAATTTAATGCAATTAAAAATAAAACACTGAAAAAAACAAAAACAAAAAAGACAAAAAAATAAAATAAAAGATCTAACCCTTTTTTCCCAACACTAATCTCCAAATTCATGTCAGACATTGTCCAATCAAATGCTTTGCACAGAGAGGCAGGGATGACAAATCACTCATGCAAAGCTAAATGCGAGATTGACAATGCTTCCTGTAAAGAAGCCAAGAATTGTCTACCAAGCAATCTCCGTATCAAGTTGTGCAAAATTGAGAAAATGCTAAAACTTGCAATGGCCTTACAAGTCCTAAAGACTGTTTACTTTGTTATTGAGAAATATAGATAAAACATACTGATCTTTCCTGTAACTAGTTTTGGGGCTATCTGACTGACAGCCAAGGGAGGTGGGGCAAGGGAAAAAATTAAGAAGCCAAATATCAGCTGAAATAAAACTAGTTAATTCAAGGATCTATGCACCATAACCACTTCAGTTAGCTGACCTTTTAATATCACATCAACTCATTCTATTTTATTAATGTATTACTTAATTTCTTTCTGGATATATATTGGTTGCTTAATGTGCCATTTTCATTAGGCATTTCATTCACTGCTTCTGATGTTAAAAATTTATGTTATTTTTACAGATTACAAAAAATGGATTTTACTGCCTTATAAAAAAAAATGATATAGATGATAAAATGTAAGGTGGAATTTACAGTAAGTAGATGCAACACATTTTAAAATAAACAACAACAAAATATATGAAATTGCTTTTACTGGAAAATCTGTTAATTCAGTGGTATTATTTAAAGCATCTAAGGTTCCATTATGATGGTTTTATATGTCACTAAATCCTCACGGCAATATGTGCTCTATACTTTGTGCAGAAGGTACAGATAATTCTGCATGAAACATAATTCTATTGTAAGAATCAGCTCCATGTGTTTAGCAATTTACGTTCTATGCCTGTAGTGTTTAAGTGCTCCTCCCGAGGCATTAATTAATAAGCTGTGGTCATATATCACATTTAAATGATTTATTTCTGCTGATTTTAGCAGATCTTTTAGATCTTTGCTATCAACATGTTCACAAAAACAAAAGCTTATTTTGAATCACCATATCCACTACACAGCGTTTGACAAATGTAGGATAAAATATCTGAATTGGAAAAACTCCCACTTTATTAACAGTTTTTTCCCAGCTCTTGGTAACTTGGCTATAAATTTATACTGGTCAGCTAGTAACTTGAGAAAATTTGCCATTTTGTGAATTAGATCCTAACAGAGGAAAATGTGGATTATATAGTAGAACGTGTAGAATAGTAGAACTTAACAATGAGGAAGTGAATATTTTGTTTACTATTTTATATCATCTATTGTCCTGTAGTTTCTCATATTGTTTTATAATGGATCAGATTTGATCTGCTGTTAGAAAAAGAATCCTCCTTGGTCTTTATTCATGAGTCAGTAGATGACATCCATCTTGAATGACTGAAGCCAAACTGGATATTTATTGTCAGCTAATTTGTTCTACATTTTATCTAACTATGTTGTTAAGTCATAACAGTTAAGAGTTGTTATGCTAGATGTTATGCTAGATACTTTATGACACTGGAATGTTAAACTTGTTTTCACAAGGAGACATATATGTCGATCCACTTTCTGTTTTTAAATAGAATGCACTCATTGCTTTCTATTTGTTACTGTTTAGAAATCGCCGTGGTAACAGTATGGTTCTGTGATTTCAGGTGTCTTCAGATGTGAATAAACATTTTTTTAATTTATAAGGTTTTTTTTTTCTAATTCAATGAATGCATCAATTTTTCCTACTTCAATGAATGCATCCTCTTTGTGTGTTTTTTTTTTTAATTTATTTTTTTAAACTAGAATCCATTTTGCACCATGGAAAATTAGAAGAATAAAAATGAAAAGTAATCGAAACCTCTTGTTACACCTGAAAAAATTTCATATCCAATACAAACATTTTAGATGGTATTCTCTAACAAGGTTTTTCGTAAATTGCGGATAAAATACATTGAAACTGACTGAATTCCGACCGCATTGGCAAATTGCAGATTTACTAAAGTCAAATATGGCCAGAATCAGTCGGTCTGTCTGATTCTGTATCATTCATTCAGAAGCGTTAGAAAATTCAGTAATATTCGCATGGGAACCAATATAAAGCAAAGGAATCTGGCATTCAACAACGAATGCATGGTGACCGAACATGAACTGAATGCATCTCCACATATTATTTTTATTTATTGATTTATTTAATTTTTTAAAGGTGGCAGCTAGCTAGAAGCGGTGGCCAGCCACCACATTAGTCCTCATGCGGTAAAGGCTTTTAAACTATTTGGATTTTAAACCTCTGGGCCTGGATTTAATAAACTCGGTCCAGTTACAGCAGTCTGTTGGCGTTCGTTCGGTCTGGCTAAAATCCAAGCAAATTCAAGCCCGTTCAAGCCCGTTACAAAATCCAGACAATGTTGGATTCCATGATCATTGTCCAGATTTGCAGTCTAAATGGCCCCGTATGCATCCGGATTGCTTTGCCCCCTTTGGTATGGGGCCATTTGGACTTCAGTGAATAACCCTATAAATGTATTACTCTCATTGTTCCAAACCCAACTTCTGATTGTTCTAACTTAACATGGAACTAGTAGCCACCTGCTTATGGAAATTTGCTTGAAACATTTAGTGCCTAACTGCAACATAAACTTAATAAATATACACTTAAACAGCAATTTTATAAATTATAGCATGTTCAAAATACCTATAAAATTATACTTACATTTACAAATTCACATTATTTTTTTATTTGCTGGTTCCTCCTTTGCAGAAATAATATGATAAAACATTTTAGAGATTATGTGATATCCCTTGTAACATATTTTGGACAGGGTGTGACATATCAGAATACCACATACAGGGTATGACAACAATAGATACAGAGACATTATCAAATATTCTGCTTGAGTGTAGTTACAAGAAACAGTAAGTCATTTTGGGGATGTAACTTTCTAAACATATCACCAGAATGTAATTTGACAAAATACCCACATACTATAGGAATAGTTACACCAATCATTGGCTACTAGGGTTCTCATAATCAGTCCAACACATAGTCTAACACAAACCTTTAAGTTAAAAAGAATGTAATCTGTCCATTTAAAATAGCGGTCAGGCTTTCATTAAACTTTTTGTACGCCCCATCTCTGAACAGGTGCTGCCTAACATAACATTAAATTACGACACTAAGGACTTACTTTTCACGGGGATTATTAAATATCTGTTCTCCATGGGCTACATAATTGAAGGTTTGATTTGTGTTGCTCTTTGTACGTCCAAAATCTTTTGGCCTTAACTAATTACAAAGAAATGAAATAAAAAATGCCAAATGTAGCACATATTTTACATGAAAGATCAATTATCCGTTCCATATTTGTATAATGTATTTTTTCAGTCGCATTTTTACTAGCGAGATCCCTAAAATATAGATTCCCAAACATACCCTTCTGTTCTGCTATACTCTATATTAAATATAGAAATGGACACATAACAATATAAAATCAAACAGAGAGCTATTTTTATACTTTTGCAAACATTTTTGAAAAGTGGACTTCTAGTTTTGGAGCCTGGGTGTGAACAGCACAGTTGAAAGAATTTGTTAGAAAAGGTGGCACCAGCACAAAGGTAGGGACAAGGTTGTTAAAGAGGAACAATTATCAAAGGAATAAACAAGAACACTCCATTGGTTCCTTAGGTGCATACCTCCCAGTATGTCATGTAGCCACACATGTAGTTCACATGTGTGAACAGATGACCACTGAGCTGCTGTCCCTCGCCAGTGAAGTTGAATGGCATTTTTGGTTAGATTCATAAAAGTCGCTAACAAAAAGATGGGGCAAAGTAGGAGAAAATGTAGGGAAATCACCAGAATACTTTTCAAGTCTCACACTTAAATAAGGCTCTATACTATTTTTGAAGCAGCTAGAGTACATGCTCTGTAGTTGCTGGGATAAAGAGCAAACTAACTGCCTGCGCTAGTGTACCCCAGTCACTCAGTTGTCTGCAGAGAGAGCCATGAAGACTCTGTGCAGAGAAATGATAATAAGAGAATGAGCTATACTATAATATAGAATTGTACAAAATCTGTTCATTAGCTACTAAAAACTATCACAAAGAATAAACGATTTTTAAATTACAATTGATCAATGACATTCCCAATGTGGCACACCTGCCTTTTCCAATGAAGCAGAATGTTCTTTCTAAAATTAATATGAAAAAAATAGATGTAGGTTTCAAAATATTAAATGAATAGATAATATTGACATGTGAGTCAGATCTGTGTTCTATTATTGCTTTCAGAGATCATATAAAATAAACGAATCACTTTAAATAAATAGAATTTCAGCATTACAAGAGGATGAAGTTTGGGGGTGAAAAACAGAGACAAAATGCTACTTTATAGAGTTGAAATGGATAGATAACGTGGGTGGAAAACACTCTACAAAACTTTCCTAAATAATGAAAAGTTAAACAACAGACACATTAATTGGACTATTTTGGGTTTTATCTGCTGCCACAATGTATGTTTAAATTGTGTAAATGTGAAAAACGCGACACATGAGGCATATTAGTTCCATAAAAATTCAGTGGTTTGCTTTATGTTCAGGATTCTTACATTCAACCAGTGGCAGCCATGCCCATTAAAACAGACAATCATTTTTTATATTGCTAGTTACAATTTATATCGACATAGAATAAAAATACCACCAACAATATCAGTGGATGTTGATTTCTCGTGTTTTTATGGTTCAGTTAATAGAGTTTCATTGACGCCTCAAATAAGCAAGAAAGTTCATCTTCAGAATGAGATCGTGGAGAGAGCTTTGTCACACGTTCCTAAAATAGAAAACGGATTTCAAAACACATAAAGCATGTTTCTTGTACATTACAAACTGATGTTTTATAATAATAATTTGTACTGTGAGATTTTTAACTAATTCATAATATAGAACATTTTGATATTATTTGTATCTGTCACAATCAGAGACAATGATCATTATGGACTATAAATAGGGCCTCTGCAGTCTGCTACACCACGTTCTTGCATCCCCACCAAAATCCAGATTTAGCTTAATATTAGCCATGTGCACGGTGAGACATTTCCGTTCTGGTGAATCACTTTATTGATTTTAAAGAACACTCGAAGCAACTAACCTCCCTTGGCTCAGTCAAGATTATCAGGGTTATTTACTTAAGAGAGAGTTCAAAATGAATTTCAAATTTGAGGTCGGACTAGCTGAACTGAAAGCATGGTTGAATTCACTTTGAATGCTCACTTTAGTAAATAATATAGCATCTTTCCATTAGTGCCTGGGCATTAGATCTCTGTGAAACATTTTTGGAGAATGGTGGTGCCCAAAATGTAGATTCCCAGATGTTTTAAAACTACAGCTTCCATGATTCTTTTTTATTCTAAAAGCATGCAAAGCATCATGGAAGTTGTAGTTCTACAATGTCTGGGGGTCTACCTTTTGGGCACCCCTGCACTAAAGTTCTATATTTTATAAACTGTTATAGGCCTTAGAATTGAAATGTCTGCCACTGGAGAACATGCAAGATGATGTACGGTACTTCCGTTGGAACACAGATATTGCATTCTATGTTCCATTACGACTTGTTTGTTTCTGAGTGCGACTTGTTTAATATCTTACCTGGGGCAAAGTTCCTTTTACTAAAGCAGGAATATCTGCTGTAGTGTAGCCAACAGCTGACAAACCATCGTCAACATTCAGATCAAATAGAAATTTCCGCAGTGTGTCTGCCAAGACGAGCCCCGCGTCTTTGATTTTAGCAGTCCGGATGTCAGCTCCTGTAGCCAAATATAAAGAATTAACTGTATTCTGCAGAAGTCAGGAGGAAGACTGCTCTGGATTTAATGTAATTACAGTCTGAATTCCTTATGTGTTCATAAGTGACTCTATTTTTCCTGAGTAAGAGGTCAAGTTAAACCTTCCCAGAATTTTTGTATTTTTACCTACGAAAAGTAAACTATCACAAATAAAGAATATATAATTAACATGTGTAATATGTGACTACTACACTGCTCTCTTTTACAGGGATAGGTATATTAACATCTGCTAATATATTTAGCATATTAGAACAGTCTCAATTCTTCAATAACAAGACCATCTATGTATTTGGAAAGTCCATAAAATGCAGATGAATTTTTAAAGCAAAATTTAGTTTCTACTGACATCTAGTGGCCAAATCACGATTAAATATTTGGTTCCACTGCATTTAGAGCAGGTAAACCAAAACAAAGCTGCCATAAACTATGGCTATTTATTAATCCCTTAAGGACACAACTTCTGAAATAAAAGGGAATCATGACGGAATATTTCCATCATGTGTCCTTAAGGGGTTAAAAGATATTTTGTTATGTGAGGACACTGGAGAAGTGGGGCATAACATGCCACTAGAGAAATTGAAGAATATACTGATGTTAATTATAATTAAACAATAGGAAATAAATACAGGAAGGAAATATTGAGAATAAACAAAAATATTAAGAATAAGTAAAAGAATTGGTTTAACCATATCAGGGCAGTCAGATGTAAAAAATATGCAGAAATAAAAAATAGTGAAAAAATAAAGGTGGGAGGGAAAGGAAATTCGCAAAGGAAAGCTAAGTGAAAAGAAAATATAAAAAAGAAAAGATTAAATTCTAATACAAATGCTAGATTATTAATCTGAAATATAATCTGTACATTTGTTTCCAAGCCTGTTTAGTGAATGGGGAGTCACTGATTGGCTGCTCTCAGTCAATTCCTGAATCTGAAAATTCAGAAGACGGATCCTGCGAGGGGAGGAGTGAAAATTACCGCTGGAGGCAATTATGGTCAAGAACGGTTTAACCCCTTGAGGTAAAAGTGCCTCCACAGGTTTCTTGGCCCCATAATAAATTCATTTAGATGAAGTTTTTTTGGTGCCTGGAGTGTCCCTGTAAGTAGGCTTTACAGACTTTACATATGTCAAAAGTTGGTAATAATGGACTTTTCATCTGATTTGGGAATTTTAATTGTAGAGCCGCATCGACACTGAATGAATTTTGCTCAATGTGTGCAAAGTAGCACTGCTGCTATGTATTGTGATTGTATTGTGTATTGTGAGTGTGCTTGCTAAGGAAGAACCAGCTCACTTGCTGGTTCTTTGGTAAACAAAGCTGCATAGTGTATTGGAGGTGCTCACAGTGTCAAAGGGGAACCAGGATACATGGTAGGCATTGCAGTGGCATCATGGGCCTGTTGGTCCCTGTGGACAGTGCCTTATTCACGGCAGCTAGCATGCTCTCTGGTAGCATTTTCCAGCCATCTTTGTCTTGTCTGCTGGTCAAGATAATTTTTCTGTTATATGTTGTTATGCCATCTTAGATTTGCAAGTTTTGGAATTTCTTTCTCCTTTTGGCGCATGGTTGATGTTCTCTATAGTCCGTTTAATTCCAGTTGTCACACTAGCTTCCTCTTGATGATGTAACCAGCTGTTTTGGTGTTAGGGTAGATGTAAATTCATCCATAGTTCCCACATTCATTTCATGTAGCTCCTCTCATTGTGTCTGCTATTGTAGTAGCATTCAAGCTTGTATCCAGGAAGGGCTTGTTCCAGTAACTTACTTGTTGACAGATTTCCCTGGTTCCCAGGCATGTGACACGGACCTTGGTTCGTGTTACTCTCATATAATTGAGGTCGGCAGGGTATATATGTAGTTATGTGTCTTACCCAGAGACACTTATTGGTGTAGTGGTTGGACTGGGATTTCAAACTGGGGTTCCAGGTTGTAAGGCAGTGACATTATCACTTTGCTAACTAGTACATATACATATATAGACACACACAACACACAATGACACTCAGCCAATTCCATACAAGCAGCACAATCACACCCAGTTAATCGCCTCATACAAACATGCTCCGCCATCTCCCGCATAATCACACACAGCCAGCACATCCCACTCTAGTGTATTTCTTAGGGGTAGTAAGAAGGGGGCCCTTCTTTGAATCTTGCACAGGGCCCTGTAGTTCCTAGTAACACCTCTGCCATTGATATTGATTTGGAAGCCATATCTCACTTGCTGGGCATCATTGTATTAAGAATCAAGTCTAAACTGCAGGAGATTGCTTTGATCATTTCTAAACTGTGCATCCTTTTTACTACAAAGAAAATTCTGTGCAGGGAACATGCGCATTTTCTGAGCAATATGCATCATTTGTATTGGAAATCCCTGAGAACTGCATGGAAGAAATGATGGTGATATGTTTGATGGATATTCCATGATGAAGCAAAGCCTATAACTATTCATACCATTTTATGTATATAAAGCACTCTCTCTACTTTTGCATGTTTTTTGTATGATCCATACTTTTGCTGCAGACTCTGAGGAATCATTACCAATACTGTTGTTAAATATTAACAGTAAGTTGATGTTACTACTAAGAGATTGAAGCCTATTGCTACTAATGTCCACCTGCTACCAATGTCACCTATTAGTGACTTAAACATAAAGCACTTAAAGGCGGCTTTCTAAGTTCTTGCCATATAAATCACTGCTTGCCAGTAAAAAAAAAATTCGTAATTCACCTGCGACACAACAGGATAGACAAAGGAGATATTAAGTTTATTTGCAGATGAAGTTTGCACTATTATTATTATTATTATTATTATTTTTTAATTATTTATATAGCGCCAACAATATATATACACTAGCACATGTCTCAGACAGATACGTACTATGCCAGGTTTGCATCCAAGTTGTCACCATAAAAACAATACAACAACCATAACCACTACACACTAATCTCAGGAGTGTCCTGGCGCCCTCCCATTGCAAAGAGTCAAACCATTTTTGAATTATTTGACTTCTTACCAGGGGTCTGCCAGCCAGGCGCCACTCTCTGCCTTCACTACAATCACTAGACAGCCAAAGAGAAACTTCCATTAGTCTTCCTGTGCTACGGCCTGCTCTGCAGAGCTTAGCTGACTGCATGAGAGCATCAATGTACTTGAGGGTTTAAATATAATAACTTGTATATAGCACATATTGTTTTCCTACAGCTGTTAACTTCACTTTCTCTCTTTGTATCAGCCTGTAAAATTTTGCATCTAGTTGGGAAATTAAAGGGATACTATAGGCAGCAAAACAACGTTAGCTTAATTAAGCAGTTTTGGTATAAATAATGCCCATGCAGTCTCACTGATTAAATATCTGCCATTTAGGAATTCAAATCAGTAGTGGCTTGTAAGTAAAACTTTATGACAACATTGGATACAAGCCATAAATCTGGCTGCAAGTATGGTGTGAATCAAAACTAAGGACAACATGTATCTCTACTAATTAAGCCTTTAATTTTTTTGTAAAGACTGAGCTAAAAGGGTAAATCGCTATTAATATTAATGGTGTGTTTTGTGCTATATGGTGTAATATCTTACTTGAAAAATAATTTAAACCAATGAAATAAGACTACAGCTGTGTTTCTGACATATAAAATATGTACACAAGAGGAAAAACAAGAGCGAAATTATTTTGAGAAAATGCATATAAAAAGTATGCAGCCTTACCAAGTATTTCTGCTGCCTCTAGGTGGCGCTCTGGACACATTGACGCAGTGAATGAAAACACAGCTGGGGACGTCAGAACAACTGAAAGTCCATGAGGCTGAAAAAAGACAGGCGTTCGGTGACAAGTACGTCAGCAAGTTCTGGATAAGTCTGGCTTGCATTGAAATATAACTGCCCATGTTAATTACTTGCTGTTTAACCCCTTAAGGACACATGACATGTGTGACATGTCATGATTCCCTTTTATTCCAGAAGTTTGGTCCTTAAGGGGTTAATAGCAATGCTTTTATCCTAAGCCAAGCACATTGTTGTGATTCCCTAGGGTAAAACCAAACATTTTATATTTTAAGATTCTAGTGCATGTGCTTTATATGTAAGTTAACCTTTACTACCAAGCTTTTTAAAATATCAGAATTTGTATTTGACGCAAGGGGTGCATAAGCTAGAATATAAACATATTGTGACATAGATTGCTTTGCAGACAAACTTAAAAATATGTATTATATACCTTTTTATTATAATTTTTTTACCCTTTCTTTAGGTTTTTATCTTGCAATTTTTCAAACAGGGTCTGATATTTTAGTATATAAAAAACAAACCTTTTTCTCATATACACTAGGTGTGACACAATAAGTAAATAAAAATCATCAAATGCATTTTTATAGGTATCTGCAAGGATCATGAAGACATTACTAGCAGTGCAGCTCACTGAAAACTGCAACAGCATGCAAAAAGAATGTCTGCATCTATGTATAATGCTCGTATACATTATTTTAGAAATCTGATTTAACTGCATTTAAAGGCATTTAAAACTGCTATAGCAATCATTATCACTCTCTGGAATGCTATCAGTAAAATTGTAAAGTGCATTCACTCCTCCTCCATCTCTGACTGTAGGAATAATATTACCCATTGAAACTGCCTTTACTGGTTGAAAGCAAGTTTGCAGTCATTATATTCGTGACGAGTAGCTTCTGGCAGAGAAATTCATTCCTCTACATCAAGCATGTCAAACTCGCTGCCCGCGGGATGCATGCGGCCCACAAGGACCATCTTTGTGGCCCGGCGAGCCACGAGTACATGCTGGTGTTATAGCAGAGTAGGCACCTGCTTTCCCTACATTGCAGGTGCCTACTCTGCTAACACTTACCCGGCACCCGGCATCACTAAACCGCGTGCAGGAGCAGATAGAACGACCCCAGGGAGATGCCCCATATCTGCTCCAAAAGGTAGGGAGCAATAAAGTAAAGTATGTGTGTGTGTGTGTGTGTGTGTGAGTGTCTGTCAGTGAGTGTGTGTCTGTCAGTAAGTATGTGTATGAGTGTGTGTCTGTTAGTGAGTGTCTGTGTGTTTGTCTGTCAGTGAGTGTGAGTGTTTGTCTGTCAGTGAGTGTGTGTCTGTCAGTATGCGTGTTTGTGTCTGTCTGTCAGTGGGTGTGTGTGTGTGTCTGTCAGTGAGTGTGTGTCTGTCTGTGAGTTTGTGTGTGTGTGTGTCTGTCAGTGAGTGTGTGTGTGTGTCTGTCAGTGTGCGTTTGCATGTGTGTGTCTGTCTGTCAGTGTGTGTCTGTATGTGTGTCTGTGAGTGTGTGTGTGTGTGTCTGTCAGTGAGTATGTGTGTGTGTCTGTCAGTATGTGTGTGTCTGTCAGTGAGTCTGTGTGTGTCTGTATGTGAGTATGTGTGTCTGTCTGTGAGTATGTGTGTGTGTGTGTGTGTCTGTCTGTGAGAGTGTGTGTGTGTCTGTCTGTGAGAGTGTGTGTGTGTCTGTCAGTGTCTGTGAGAGTGTGTGTGTGTCTGTCTGTGAGTATGTGTGTGTGTCAGCGGGAGGATCAGATTTGGCACAGGGTGGTAGAAAATGTTTACACTCAATTTTGGTAGTAATTTGCAAAAAAAATAATTTGACAACATGGGATGCATTGCATACCTAGCACATGGGATTCATAACATATTCTGCAATAAAAAGATTGTAGTTCAAACCTTATGGTTTCACTTAAAAAAGATAACTAAAATAAATATAAGATAAATCTACAGCTTCTAGAGAAAACTTTCTTTAAAGTGCCACTCCAAGCACCACAACTAATACCCACCTGAAGGCCCGCTCACCGTCCCGATTCCATACCAACCAAAGTTGGGAGGTACGTCTCAAATACAAGTTAAAGAACAACTATTTTTGATGCTCAAAAATAAAATTTCCAATGTTAAAGTGTTCCTCCGTACACCATGACTGTTTCATTGATTTGAAGTGGTCATGGTGCCTGGATGCTGTGTGTGCAGCCTTTAAATTTGATTCACTCCTCTGTTGCTGTAAGGGTACCTCCTTTTCTGGCAGCGTCATAGTGGTGTCACCGGCCAGCCCAGAATGACAGTCATGAGCAGAGAGTGGTCAGCCAATGAATATCAACCGCTGTAGCTTGCAGCCTTTTGGTACACCCAGGTAAGGGGGAAAACTGTTGCTTTAGCCATCACTGTTCTATGCCACTGACTATTGTTTGAGTGCATGGCTTAATTTTGTGTCTTTGTATTTGCTTCTGTGTTACACAGTCATGTTACAGTGCTGCTTCCCACCTCATGTGTCCCATTAAGGGTTTATGAGTGTATTGGGTTAATAAGAATACCCCTTTCTGTCTCATTAGAGATTTTGCCTTTTAGCTGAAAGCATCAATGTGAATTATTAGTGTAGGACTCATGTACGAGACTTGCCTTGATGTGGCAGATGAGCTTACACTTTAATGGCCATTGCAGTGGTACTAAAAACCTTGCGTATGGATTTGGATAGTGTGCAGGTAATTATTTTGGTTATGTCCCCTGTATTTGACCCGATAAATACTATAGCAATTGCTGCCTCCCAGAAGTAGTGAGAGTTTTTTAGAGCAGGGCTTATGTTTGTGTGTTTGCACTGACTATTGTAACCTACATTTTGCAAATTCCACTAAATTCCATCAGTTTACCACTATTGGGTGCTCCACGTTATAATCCTTGGCTCTGTAGGTCTTTACAAGGCCTGAAATAGGGTATGACATCCCATGACTGGAAAGAAAAAAAAAGTAAAAGCAATATATTATTGAGGTTGTACCTAATAAAAGTTATCTTTTATTTTTATATTACATGTGATGTATACATATATCAAGAGTCTAATTTAGTTCTGTTTTCAATAAGAAGGTTCTCTGTGCAGGCTGTACCAGAAAATACCAGGTTACAGCGGCATTATTTAGGAAGACATCTAGCAAAAGAATACAGTTGTTGGTTTACATTGAGATGACCTCACAGTTTATCCTAACAAATTTTGGCATTTCACTTTATACCCATATTGAATAAAGGTTTATTCTTACATGTAATTGCTGAGCAGCACAGAGTGATGTAGTGCAATGATTAAAAAAAAAATCAGGATTTAGATTGCACTATATGTTGCACATGATGAAATAGTGTTCTTTGGAATGTCACTTTAGAGGAACACTATAGGGTCAAGAACACAAACATGTATTGCGGACCATATAGTATTAAAAACACTATTTAGCCCCGGCCCTCCCTTACTCCCCTTAAATAAATAGAAAACCTACCTTTATTCCAGCGCCACACAGGTCTGCTGGCGTTGGTCCTACCCCTGGTCCACCTTCTTGGCTGACGTCATCAGAATTGATGTTCTCAGCCAATCCAATACTTTCCCATAGGTAGGCAATGCATTGACTCAGATTGTCAATTCTGATTATCTCAGCCAAGGAGGCGGGTTTTGGGGTGGAGCCAAATGCCGCACTGACCAATCAGCATCTCCTTATAGAAATACATTGAATCGATGCATCTCTATGAGAAAGTTCAGTGTTGTGCAGCACTGACCCAGGAAGCAGCTCTAGTGGCTATTTGAGTGACTGCCACTGGAGGTGTCCCTGGGCAGTAATGTAAGCACTGATTTTTTTTTTGTAGTTGCTCTGGTGGCTATAGTTTAAGACACTGATTAAGGCATTATTGGCACACCAACCCAATATTGAACACCACATATAAGTAAAACTTTCTATAACACAGATAGTGTGCATGAAGCTCACCAGAGGTGCACCCCGGCATTTCCAAACCCAATGCCTGCAAATGAGCTTGCTAAGTGCATGGAGAACCGAGCTTCACGATCATCTGGATTTTTTACAGCTCTGTGGATATTTGTAAAAGAAAGATGGTAATTAGAATTAAAAAAACCCTCAAACAATATGGAAATTATAATTGACAATGGTCTTTCGTTGTCTCAAAAAACATAGCAGTTCTCATATATATCCTACAACTGATTGTTTTGTTTTTTTTCATAGTAAAAATAGGGTTGTTTAAGATTGATTTAAGAAAAACATAAAAGAGCACTTGAAAATATACTTTGGTCTGCTTCTAGTGAATGATGTAATATGGAGGATCAAGTACCAGAAAATTAGATTCTATAAATGTTGCTGAAGACTAGAATGAGGAAAGCACATAATCACACATGCTACGACCGTATGATGAATACAATAACATATAGTAGGTGATCCACAGTGTTAAAAGAAGTAGAAACATCAAGAAGAATTGGTATAGAGCAGCGGTTCCCAAACTGTGTGCACAGGGGTGCCACGTAATGTTTCCCTGGTGCTATGATTATAGCACCGGTGAAACATTACTGCTGAACAGGGGCCCAGTCAAGTCCCGCGGTGCTTTAAGACCGCGACTGGACCCCTGTAATGTTGGCTGGCTGGGAGGAAATTACAGCCTGTCACTTCCTGCCAGCATCCTGCAGGGAGGCAGCGTGGGAAGAGGCAGCTCCAGACCCCTCACTCCCACCAGCAGCAGGACTCCATCCATCCTCCTGGCACATAAGGTAAGCTGACAGAGGGTGGCTGGAGATATTAAAAAACAAATCACTTGTATGTGTGTGAGTGTATGTATGAGTTTGTGTGTGTGTATGTGTGTGAGTGTGAGTATAAGTGTGTATGTGTGTGAGTGTGTGTATGTGTGTATGAGTGTGTGTGTGTGTGTGTATGAGTGTGTGTATGAGTTTGAGTGTGTATGAGTGTGTGTGTGTGTGAGTGTGTGTGTGTGTGAGTATGAGTGTGTGTATGAGTGTGTATGTGTATAAGTGTGTGTATGAGTGTGTGTGTGTATGAGTGTGTGTGTGTGTGTCTGTCAGGGTGTTTATGAGTGTGTGTGTGTATATATGTCAGTGTGCTTCTGTGTCTGCGCACACATCCGTGTATGTGCGCCTGTGTGTCAGGGTGTGTCTTTTTATGTCAGTGTGTGTATCTGTGTCATGGTGCAGGCATGTATCAATGTTTGTGTGTGTCAGGGTGCATGTGTGTATATGTCGGTGTGTATCTATATGTGTGTATGTGTCGGTGTCTATATGAATTGGTGTGTATGTGTCGATGCATTTATATGCATCTGTGTGTTAATGTGCATGAATGTCTGTGTAAGTATGTATGTATGTATGTGCATACATCCAAGCAGTCAAACACCACCATAACATACAAGCACACTCCTGCATTCTAACTCAAACATTACATACACACACCCCTGCATTCAAACAAAATATATAAAAACAAACACATCTCTTCACTCAAACACAAATACTTCACACAAATGTACATCCAAATTTAAAAGTGAACGTTACATTCAGACACACCCCTGCAATCAAACGCAAACATTAAATGCAAACACACCCCTGTATTAAAACACAATAACTATATACAAGCACCCCTTCAAACACCAACACTGTCCATTACACTATAGCGCCAATAAATGCCGCAGCGCTGTACAGATATGCAACCTAGAAATTGTGACTTGGGGTGCCTTGGAAAAATACTGAAATATTAAGGGAGCCTTGAACTTAAAAAGTTTGGGAACCACTGGTATAGAGTAATAAGCTTCCAATTTCGAGATGAAATCACTGGTCACGGTAGTTAGAAAGGTTTCAGTAAATAACCAAAATGGATATCAGAGTAAAGAGGGTCAAGTAGAGCCTGTGTTTATATAATTAAACAATTAATAGGGAACCACTGCCTCGAACATATACATATATATATATTCAGTTTATTAACTTTTTTACAAGGTACAGACTGAAAAATTAGATCATTAACAGGGTAACCTGAATAATAATAATAATAATAAACACATATAAACAATAACACACATATTTAATGCTATAACAGTAAACACATATAAAATGTATCAGAATGGGTGTCAGTATAGTAAATCATATAAAGAAGGGTAAAGCAGGAAAGAGGTTTAGCCCACAGGGTGTGGAGAACAATGTCAGCTTAATGTGAGTTTTGGATTTAAAAGTTTGTCCACGTAACAGGTAACTTAAGGGCTAAACATGCAGATTTTAATACAATTTATTTCGAACATTAAAGATTTTTAACTTCTCTGCACGGAATACATTGTACATTGAGTCTATAAATATTGTATAAATATTAATTTTACATTTATAAACTCTTGCATTACACCCATGAAGCTAATTCTGGTTAGCAGCCTCATCCAAAGTCGGGAATTGTACCTCTTTAGGTATTTGGCCACAATCCTCAAGGCATGTTTGGCCCAGACATCACTGATTGGATTGCTCCCCTGGTAAGTTGGGCGCTCTATTGGATTAGTAGGACAGGGGCTGCGCATGTGATAGGGCAGAGCAGTGTAGGACTCGAGTGAGTGGCTAAAAGACACAAAAGTAAAATAAAGTAAGCACTTTTTAAAAAAATTTAAAAAAAGGTCCAAAAGGATCTATACTCTGAATTCCAAGTTAGGCTACAATGTTTATTTTCAGGCAAATGTGTTCCTTCAGGCACAGACCCAATTCCCAGTAGAGGGATGTTCTAACGTAGTACACCAATATTTCCATTGAAATCCGCACACGGTAGTAGCTCCAAAATAATGCCACGGTAGGTAATGAAAAAGTGCACAATTTATAAAAAAAATAGATAGAGGAAAAAAATATAACAAAAGTCAGCAACTAGTAGCCCACCTTGTCACGAACGTGGGCTATGGGCCCAGCCGAGACACTGGAGAGAGTGTGGAAGTGAAAAGGTTAATTACACCAGACCCCTGGTTACCTGTTGCTAGTCCCAGCAACCACTAAATTAACCCCTGCAATCCCTTCTACACTAACACCCTAGTACACACTTTACTGCCACCACCAAGACTTTATATCCGAGCGTCTTAGGTTACCCCACACACAGTAGAATTATAGTATCACAACCTTACTTTACTGATCAGACATATATAATTAACCCTTTTGGTAACATGTTTACCTGACCTCAGAAGAGTAAACTCATAGAGAACAAAGACACAAGCTGATTATGTAAACATTTAATCTGACAGTGCTGGGTACAAAAATACAGAAATAAATGACATACAGAAAACAAATTGCAAACCAGTCCATAAAATAAAATAGGAGAAAACACAAGAAATTCCTTACATATATTTACCCCCGATATAGAATTCTTTTGGGAGATTCAGATGTTACAGGTCTCAAAGTAGTTGTTGAAAAAAAGAAATCTTCCCTGGATAGTCCAACATCTGCATTATAACTCAAAAGCAGGGAAGTTTCTAAGTGGGTGGATCAGAGGGATTTGGCCTGGCTGTTTATTTTTTTAAATTATGTTATCCTTTGAAGACCCAAAAGTTAGAGCATATGCACCAATACCTTTTTACAATGCCCTATGTCCAGCTCTGGTGATGGTTATCGAGAAGTTTGATGGCCTAGGCCTGGTGTAAGATCAAAGCCCACAATAAATGTTATCCCAACGTTTACAAAAAACAACTCATAACATTATGTACCAAATGCCAACTCATGTTTTGGCATGACACACCTAATAAGATGTTACCTCCAATATTTGCACTAAAAGCCAGGGTTCAACTGATACGCACATTCACATAGGTGGAAATGAAACACCCTGCAACCAAAATGAAAAAAAAAAAAAGAGGGGAGCAGGGAAAGGCAACTGGAGATAGCAAAATCTACTAGGAGGAGGAAAAAAGAGACACTGGAGAGGGTCCCAGCAAACCTTCAGGAAAGCCCTTCGCACGTTTCGTGCCTGTCTTGGCACTCTCTTTTTTTTTTGTTCTGTTTCCTTTTGGATGCAGGCTGTTTCATTTCCAGCTTTGTGAATGTGCATGAGTTGCACACTGACTTTTGGTGAAAATATTGGAGGTAACATTATTATTATTATTTTATTATTTATATAGCGCCATCAGATTCCGCAGCGCTGTACAATGGGTGGACTAACAGACATGTAATTGTAACCAGACAAATGGACGTACAGGAACAGAGAGGTGGAGAGCTTAACATCTTATTAGGAGTTGCTGCCAGTTTTGTTATATTTTTTCTTCTAACTGTTTTTTAATATATTGTGTACTTTTTCATGACCTATCTGTGTGATTATTTTGGAGCTATTACTGTGTGCGGACTTTAATGGAAATATTGGTGTTCTACATATGTTTTATTTAGGATCAGTCCAGCACGGAGATGAAAGCACCAGGATTTTTATGTGACAAGCAACGACTTTATACCAAGTAAGCATTTTCTGCTGTGTCTACCCCCTTTTTTGTTTTTGAGTGGCGGTATTTTTTTCTTTTACAGGGGATTATTCTCTGTTCTATGTCATATTTACGAGGGATGTTCTAAGGCGAGTTTCCTTTTTTTATTCTCATACTCCTTGCTCTGACAGCTGACCTGACGGCATGCTGCTTCATTTTGTGACACTTTAATTACAGGGAAACTCACCAACCATGGCATAGATAGCAAAGTAATGTTCTGAGTGCAAGCAATATACACAAATCATATAATTTATTAAATGGAAATGATGACAAACAAAGCCGAGCATATATGAAGTAAAAATTACAACCAAGACCAACATTTCATGAATGATCTAAAATGGAATTATATTAAACCAGTATGAAATGACTGACTAATATCTCAGTAATGTTAATGTTGGTGGTGGCATAAGAACCTTACTGGTTATATACAATGAAATGATCCCTAACACACAGATATTTAGCACATTGGGGAAAAAACGTCTATGATTTTGTGTATATGTGCCACAACCCTTCACCTGTTGGAGGGTTAAACCATTTGAATAACAGATGAGAGTACAGCATACTGATTTGCAATACACTGATAATCGTATTAGAATTTAAGAGAGCAGTATAAGCCACATAACCACTGCATGACTTTGTAGTGGTTAGAGTGCCAGCAGAGCAGTTTGATCAAATTATGGAGTGCCTGTGCTTTATCCCTGCTTGCCATATTGCTAATGCAGAAGCTCCTGAAGTTACCAACATCAATTTGGGCCATTCATTGATTGGATGTCCTGTCAGATGCTAAGTCTATCTATGGTGCTCAAATATGGACAAAAATGATATTGCTAACGCATATGTGTAGCTTCTGTATTAGAGAGAGTAGGACGTCAGTTCACAAGTAACTTGGGGACCCTTGTGGGACGGTAGTCACCATCACCTGGAGCTTCAGACAGACTATGTATGTAGGTCCCTGGACTATTCCTATGTTTTAGTCACCCTGTGCCCATTATAGGTACAGGGTGTGTGTGTAATATGTATTGTATAGTGTTCAATGTTTTGTTTGCTCTCCTGTTCTGCTGATGGATTTGGCTACGGAGCCTGTATAGCGCCCTCTGTTGGTAGCAACAGCAATATGCACTACCTGGATAGCAAGGCTTGTTAAATTGCATTATCAGGTAGATTTGCATATTGCTAATTCTGCAGGCAGGAGAGATATTTTGTGTTAAATATTGTCTTCCCCAGCCCTTAATGAAGAAGGAATGCAGTGGGATAGGCAGAGGGGACGATACCTGCTTGGAAAGAGAGCTGCAGTCTGGTCAGATGGAAAAGCTCCAGAGAGACCTCAGTCAAGCCTATGCGACTGAGGTTGAAGCGCTCCAGGGTCCCTGCAAGTGGCTAGGAAGCATATTGGACGGAGGTACTCAGTCGGAGTATGGGAGGTCCGTCAAACCTTGGTTTTGGTTTAATGGCCTTACCAGAGGAAGGTTCCCACAGCCCAACTGGACAATAACCATTACAGCAGTAGTTATGTTATGGATTGTGTAATAAAGTGACTTTGGATACCTCCCATGTCATATTTAATAATGCCTACCTCATGAAGAACAGAGTTTATGGTGTCTTAGCATCTTACTGATGCACTTTACCTATGTAACTGTACTCTCAAACAACCATTCAACAATCTGTCTAAGCCCATCTCCACTGAGAACGAATTACAGGAGTAACCTTCATAATCAACGCAGCATTATACTTCTTGTTATTTGACAGAGATATGGAGAAAAAAAGCAAAACTAGCGAGTGTGATAATAGAGACACTGCTGAACAGAACTGCAATGTCTGTAACTAAGTAACATGTTTATATAATAAAGGAGCAGAATTCTGGTCAGTAATAAAAAACAAAACACGCACCATTGGTTTACCTTGAGATTTATGTTGCACTTGAAGGAAATTCATACTTACCACAATACATCGAAACCACTATTCGCAATGACTCTTTCTGGCATATGAAGTGTATGTAATGGATCAATGAGCCCTAAAGTTGGTTTTATAGCTCTAGAAGCAATACCTAAAAAATATATAAGGTGTGGTTAATTGTATAGCTGAAATTTTTTTTATTGAAGACATCTAAATAACTTTGATTACATCTTTTGTATATATTTTTTATTGAAGGTGTAACTTATAACTGAGATGTGCATTGTTTTGATAGAAAAAAGATATGATACAAATATTTATTAAATAATGTAATTATTTATTCATTATGTTTTAATAGAAATATTATTTAATAATGCATATATCTCTGTAAATAAGTTGTTATTCTTCCTACATTTTCTACACATTGCTTTTTAAATAAAGAGATGCTTAGAAAAGAAAGCAATTAATTAATTAATATGCAGTTATTAAAAGGAACACTCTAACGTTAGGAATACAAATACAAATAAAGTTATCCTTTTCCTTGTTTGTGAAGGGCGATGAACTCTTCTCTTAACTTTGTGGACCATTCTTTTGACTTATCCATATTTCTAACATGCAGTCAAATGTGACACTCAACAAAGCTCTACTCAGTTCAAGTATTTCAAGTGTTCCAGCTCATGCACATTTGGTGCAACTAATGAAGCCCTTGATTAGTTGCATCAGGTGTGCTTGAGACAACACATGTTTTTCATATTTGTGCTGTTGTGAGGGATTCTATTCAGGGGGCTGAATAATTTTGAGACTAGAGAAGTCAATAGAAGTTGAAGTTGAATTTTCAGTTGAATTTGGGGAAACCACTTTAAGAATTCATTGTGTAGAACTATTTCAATTGCATCTGTTTGATTTGTTGTTTGCAAACAGCTGAAATTCTGTAAATTCTGACAATAAACCTGATTTTCAATGAGGGTTGGCTATATTAGGATAGGGCCAGGGCTTAGCTTAAAAAATATAAAGAGCAAAATACCAATCTGACAAAATCAGACAATTAAATCGTGCCTGATGATATGATTTTTAGACATTTGGCCGAGTATGATCCATTATTGTATAAATACAGTCCAGATGCTTGTAAACCCAATTTTATGTCTGTATTTGCTACACATTTTTGGCTAACATTAAATAACCACTTCATCAATAACATTTTATTTGTTTTCCAATCTTGCATATCAGACATTTAATAGTTTTAATTGTTAATCTGCTTTTATCTCTATTAGGCGACCTCACACAGAGCACTCCAACTTATACTGAACTATAATCCCCATGATCCCCATAGAGTGACATCCAAATGTAAAAAAAACAAACAAACAAACAAAAAAACAGCTAGAGAGTGAAGTAGACTGTTATTGATTTTATATCTGCTATATTTAACTGTTGTATTACAGGTACACGCCATGCAGCATGTATCCATAAATATTGATGTATCAGGTTAAAAAAAAAGAAAATCACCTTGATTTGCGGATTTATATGTTTGCTTGATGCCACGTGCATGGTGTTTGCAAAAATATAACAAACAAGAAAAAAAATGCATGTTTGCTTCACTCTACTTCTTCAATTGGTAATACCATGAAGAACTGCATTTTGACGAGGAATCTCTTTGTGTGAAATACATGCCCTTTTAGGAATAAATGGTAAATATGTGAAAATATGGGTGAAATGGACAATAACGGAGGAGGAGGATCCAGACTAAGGAATTTACTGAAAGGAGAGCTTTATATACTTTTTATGCATTGCCAATAAAATGCAAAGGGGGTGCGGCCGTTTAACTTGGTATTTTGACACATGCGTCTAAAGTTAGCAGTCAGGTGATATTCTTATACACATCCTATGACATACCTGTTTTTGCATTTAGTTCTTCATAATCAAATATAGCGATTCCAGTGGTTTCACTTCCTGTTCCAGAGGTAGTGGGAACTGGGAGAAAATATTCAACATCGTTAGCAACAAAATCAACAGTAGTCCAAATAGGTTAAAAACCGGAGACTTGGAGTGTGGATTGTGTGGACTGGTCTTATCAATCAGAGTTAACATGTCTTACATATCCTAAATGTTATGGTGGGGTAAACAGCTTTATATACTTTGTTATCACATTTCATTAAAGGGACACTTTTAGTAGCAAAATCACCAAATAATGGGTTATTACAATCACCATGACTGCGGGGTTTTGAAGTGGCCACGGTGAAAGTCTCCGCAAGATAACCTGCACACTTTATTAGATACATTGAAGCGAGAGGTGAAACCTCCACCTTCAGCAATGTAATTAGCTAGACTACGAAAATTTTGGGCTGGCTAATGTCAATTTTGTGCATATTCTGCAAACAGAAATTCATTCACTTACTCATACCTCTCCGCAGACGCTCTCAGCCAATGTATGACCATTGGAATTTGCATCTGGTGTCTGCAGCTCTGCAAAAGCCTGATGTATGTCAGCTAGCATGACACAAGGCTCTGAGCCCAGCGGTACCCAGGTAAAAGGGCATTGCAAAACAGTTTGTCCTATTACTGGGGAACAGTGCAAGGGTACTCCAATTATCATAAGCATTACATTAGACTGCAGTGGTCATGATGCTTGGACTAACCCTTTAATGTGGTGGATTTAGTCCATCGATGCTGATCTTTTTCTCAAACAATTTAAAATGTTACAATTTCTGAGAAACATCAATGTTTTTATTTTGCCAAAACCATGCCTTTAGTGACTATAAAACACTTAGCCACTAAAGGCACTTCCTCCTTAAGATCTTCAATTTCTAAAGGATTTTTTTCATTTGTCATCATCACACACAGCAAGACGACGCTGAACTCTATGAGAAGCATTCTATTGGCAGATTGTAGCAACTTTTCTGTGAAAATCATTTTAACCCCTTAAGGACACACCTTCTGGAATAAAAGTGAATCATGACGCAATATTTTCGTCATGTGTCCTTAAGGGGTTAACTCATCTGGTTGAATGGAAATATATGATGTAGGTTTACCTGCAATGAGAGGGTTAAGAGGCACAGTCACAGGCTTTCCCTTTCCAATTGGGGCATTAACAAAGTCGAGGAGGTCTGACTCGGGGCTGGACGCGTATAAGTTAGCTGCTTTACAGGTGTCCATCACAGACCCTCCACCAACAGCCACGTAAGCATCAAACTTTCCTTTCCTAGCAAACTCGATTGCATCCATAAAACTGACAGGGGGGAAAAAGACAAAGTGAATGGAATCACAGATACTGAGAAACTGTTCTACCAGATAATGCATTGTTAGAATACATATTGGAACAGATTCTAAGTATGAATCTCTTGATAAAAAATGTGATTCTAAGTATGGATCTCTTAATGAAAAATGTGATTCTAAGTATGGATCTCATAAAGAAAAATTAGATTCTAAGTATGGATCTCATAAAGAAAAATTAGATTCTAAGTATGATCTCTTAATAACAAATGTGATTCTAAGTATGGATCTCTTAAAGAAAAATTAGATTTTAAGTTTGGAGCTCTTAATGAAAATTATGATTCTAAGTATGGATCTCTTAATAACAAATGTGATTCTAAGTATGGATCTCTTAATGAAAAATGTGATTCTAAGTATGGATCTCATAAAGAAAAATTAGATTCTAAATATGGATCTCTTAAAGAAAAATTAGATTTTAAGTTTGGAGCTCTTAATTAAAATTATGATTCTAAGTATCGATCTCTTAATAACAAATGTGATTCTAAGTATGGAGCTCTTAATGAAAATTATGATTCTAAGTATGGATCTCTTAATAACAAATGTGATTCTAAGTATGGATCTCTTAATGAAAAATGTGATTCTAAGTATGGATCTCATAAAGAAAAATTAGATTCTAAGTATGGATCTCTTAAAGAAAAATTAGATTTTAAGTTTGGAGCTCTTAATGAAAATTATGATTCTAAGTATGGATCTCTTAATAACAAATGTGATTCTAAGTAGGGATCTCAATGAAAAATGTGATTCTAAGTAGGATCTCTTAATGAAAATTATGATTCTAAGTATGGATCTCTTAATGAAAAATGTGATTCTAAGTATGGATCTCATAAAGAAAAATTAGATTCTAAGTATGGATCTCTTGATAAAAAATGTGATTCTAAGTATGGATCTCTTAAAGAAAAATTAGATTCTAAGTATGGATCTTTTGATAAAAAATATAATTCTAAGTATGGATCTCTTGATGAAAAATGTGATTCTAAGTATGGATCTCTCGATAAAAAATGTGATTCTATGTAGGGATCTCTTAAAGAAAAATTAGATTCTAAGTATGGATCTCTTAAAGAAAAATGTGATTCTAAGTATGGATCTCTTGATAAAAAATGTGATTCTAAGTAGGGATCTCTTAAAGAAAAAATAGATTCTAGGTATGGATCTCTTAATGAAAAATGTGATTCTAAGTATGGATCTCTTAAAGAAAAATGTGATTTTAAGTATGGATCTCTTAAAGAAAAATGTGATTCTAAGTATGGATCTCTTAATGAAATATCTTTGTATCGATTAATGTAAAATGTCTAAAATGTAATTTTACCTTTTATCAGTTGGTTCCACCCTTACATTGTCGTAAACACTGAAATTGATTTTATTCCTGATTAGTGAATTGAGCACGGCCCTCACCGGAGGCAGCTGAGCAAGATTCTTGTCTGTCATCACACAGACGTTTTTCATCCCTAGATTCTGTAAGTCCTAAAAAGTTAAATAAATAGGAATGCCATGCTCATAGGAAACCATGAGACAAAAACAAGCTGCATGTTATGTATGGTAGTGTGGGGCTCAGTAAGCAGGTAATTGCAGCGGACAGGGGAGAGCAGATAAGGACCAGCAGGGTGAGTCAAAGGACAAGTAAAACCAGGTGTCAATTTCAAAGGTAAATCCAAGAGACAAAGCTGGACTAAGCAGTGGATGGTCCAGATGGCAAAGGTATGTAGACATGGGCTAATCCAAAGGTGACAGTAGTACAGGAAGTCAGTAATAGAATACGGTAGCAACATTAATATACTACATGCAGCTCACAAAATATCAGAGCATTGATTGAGGTGACCAGAGGAAGTATATAGGGGGCAAGATATAATCCATGTCCACTGGGGTAGGGTCAGTGCTGGTCACCTAATTACACAGCGTGGCTTCTTTAATATTTAAAATGTCACCATTCAGGAGCATGTGGCTAATCACCGCTATTTCTGGACTTTGAAGACCGTGCTCAACTCCCTCTGCCATACTGAGTTGTCATCAGAACCTCAGGGAGACAGGAGGCTAACCTCAGCAAGGGGGCAACAAGCATACAGCTGTGATGTGGCTGGGAGTATAGAGGGACATGATCACACAAGAGGGATTTGCAGTAGGTAAGTACTATCAGCGGCTGTCCCCACAGCGGTGCACAACGACAGTGCAAATAGAGGTGTGAGAAAAGCGAGGTTGGAAAAGCACAGGTAGGTTCAAATGGATGAACTTTGTAAATGTATGGAAGAGAGGTTAAAGAGCAGGGAGAATAAGCAGGATAGAAGAGTGTAATAAAAGATATTACACGTTTTATAGAAAATAAAACGTGATAAAAGTAAAGGCATAGAGTGGAGGATAGATTGGGAAAGTAGAGTGAAGTGATGCAGTATTTTTCATTCTTACCATTCCAACTTCCTTTGTAACATTTTCTCCATATCTGATATTTGAAACAGCCATCTCGAGAGAAAAGGAGAAGCACAAAGGTAAATTATAAACCAGCACTGGTAACTGACCAATAATGTTTTAATATTTTGCATAAGAATAGGCAACAAAGCAATTTTACACAACATAGACGCTATCAAAGCAATCGTGATCCAAAATACATGGACCATCCTACTGCCGATAATGACAATGAAGTCAGAAAACATTATTGACTGAAAACCAATCCAAACAAATTAATATCACAATATCCAGTTCCATACGTAGATATTTCAAAGTTAAAGGTCGATATAGCGTTAAGAATACAAATGTGTATCCTCATCTGAAGGAAAAAGTAGTTTAACTCACTAGTAGTCTCTCAACGGCTGGTCCTGCCTCCATAGATAGATGATCACAGCCAAGCCAATTATTTCCCGTAGGGAAGCATTGGAAGTCTAGTACTTCTGGATGCCAGTAAAACGATATGCAGCCTCAATCAGACTGTCTTTATGAGTTTTACTCGACTATTTCAGAGAAAGCACCGCTAGAGGCTGTCCTTCTGTAGAAGGATTGTGATTAAGTGCTTAACGTAAGATAATGGGTCCTTTTACATTGATCTGGTAATGGTCAAGTCAACGTGTTATGGAAAAGTGTTAAAACAGTGAAATTGTGTTTGTTTTGATATTGTTATGACATTTTTGATATTACTTGTTGGCAACAGTTATTATGTCGATAATTAGACATGGAAGGGTTATTTCCTCCATAGTTACATAAACCTAGGCTTGTCAACAACAGCAGTTTAAGTGTTTTCAAAGTGTAGCTCCTACTAAAGTTTTAATTAGCAGAATATAACCCAACTGAAATTGGGAGTAAATTAAAATTTAGAATCCCACACTAATCTCATTAAAATTCTAAAATTATATTTGTTAAAGAACTAATTGCAAATACCACAATAATATTTAACTGCAATTGATCCATATTGCTACCATGAGGATTATCACTACCACACAGGGTTATTCACTCAAGTCTGAATGGACCTGCGCTGACTGTGGCAAAACTATTTAAACTAAAAAATTCTAGACACTGTTCATACTATTTAACAACGTCCAGATTTTGCAATTCCGGCACTGAATGGGCCTGAATTTGGTCCGGATTTCAGCCAGACCAACAGTGCCGAACATTAAAATCCAGACTAGAATGCTTTAAATACAAACTATTCTTAAAAAATTCCAACCTATTAGCTCGCTTCAGCGCTAGAAACCAAAGGGCAAATAGTTCAATAACCCGTGGTAGTTTAATGGTTAATTATGTGTCGGCTGGCCACATGTTAGAAAATAAAGAATTTAATAAAAATAAAAAAGGGGTTGATAAGACCCTCATATTACCATACAAAAGGTTTAAAACCTTCTACACCCCAACTTACTCCATATCTCGTATCCAAAAGGTAGCCATGTTGCTATCCCTACAATGTTCCATTTCCACAAACAACGCTCCATTATATTGGTTTTCTCCTACATGTAACTATAAAACATGTTACTATTTTACCTCAAATGCATAGTCTGTTGTTTTCCCCGCTGCAGGAGCTAGAAACAGAGCACAATTATTAGTTCAAGAAACATTTTTTAGAGAAGGATTACATTTCTTATTATGTGCATTTATTCTAAACATACCATGAGGTATAAGGTAAACATACCACGCTACTGATATAGCATCTGAATGCATGCATATTGGCCTACAATTCCCATAAGCCACACCATGAACTTGCGTCTTGTAAAAAAGATTGGCATAGTTACATTTCTAATTTATTTATTTCCACCAATGTTCCATCCTGTACAGATCCCACGCCTACAGCCTCTTTAGCATACATTAATAATGTCATTTCATGCCTGGGTCCATAGTCAGTGCTGAATGGATAACATACTTTAACATGTAACCACAACTACTATTTACGCAATGAGGAACCTCCAAAGAAGAGGAAATCTTCTAAATCCCAGTTTGGTAAGAATACATTCCAGATTAATAATAGATGTAGATACCAAATGTCCTGCCCCACTAGTGACTCAGCATTGCACAAATAAAGGGTTTTGTTCATTACACAGTAAGTTTTTTTAAAACAAGTATGTTACAGTTTGAGAACCATCAATATAAAGCTAAAGATATTAAAGACGTTACCTTGAGAATAGGTGTGAGAGTGGGCTGGGCACTTGCACCTAAAAATCAAATGAGAAAATAATAGACAGCATGCTTGAAAGTAGCTTGAGGTCCCAAGCTGTAAACTGTAAAAGCAAACTCGACATAAAACAAATTTTATGTATATGGTAGGCATGTGATCTATATAATAAGCTTAGTTCCCTCTTGAGTAGTGGTCTACGGAATTACTCTGAAAATTACTGAAATGAACAGTTCTTTCGCTTTGCTATTAAATATTCTAATGGGAAAATGACTCTTACTAATTGGATATTACCTATATACACGCAGGGAAAAACAAAAAGAAGAGAATCCAGTTCTGATGCCATCACTATAGCACATCTAACAAACATTTGTATTAAAGATGGGTAGGGGACCACGTGAGTTCAAGTCAGTGGATAGGTTGTCCATATGCCCCCTGAACAGCTCCTGAATAAGTGGATCCATTGACATTTAAACAGGTAAGGCATCAGAAAGAAGAATAATATGGAGTCATCTTTCTAAATCCATCATTAAATTATTACTGCAGCTGACTGCCTACTGTACGGTAAATTATTTTATTTTATTTTTTTATTTAGCAATGTTTATAACTTACGATGCTCGCTGCAATAGCTTTAACAGATGAATCACCTGGTCTCGTCCCGCACTCATTGTGATGCAGTATTAACGGCTGCAGCTTTTTACAAGGAATATGGAATGAGAAGTAGACACCTTTAAGGGAACAAAAAAATACTTTACAGACGTATAGCAAATAATTCTGGTATGAAGAGCCATATCAAATTACAGCAGCATCGAGGTTTGTGAACTGACGCTCAGCTAGATTGTATATGATACATTTTAATGCATTCCATATTTCCATCATGGTCTCTAAGATAAATGCAGCTTAGGCTGGCTGAGAGTGATAGGTAATATGGTTCACACAGTCCCACCTTGCCGCTGTTAAAATTACACTCAAAGTAGTGTACCTCACTTTAGTAGCTAGGCTGCTTAACGTCAACTGTTTAGGAACAGTTTAAAATAAAGCACAGCTTTTCCTGGGGCCCAGTGACTGCACCATCCTTAGCCACACTGATAATGCAGAATTATCACTTCCATATTAGCAATATAAATTTTATCCACATTGAATGACACTGGTTGGTTAAAGAAAGGGTAGGCAACCTTTGGTACTCCAGATGTTGTGGACTACATCTCCCTTAATGCTTTCATAGCCATAATGCAGTCCGCAACACCTGGAGTGCCGACGGTTGCCTACCCTTAGAGCAGGCCTGTCCAACCTGCGGCCCCCAAGATGTTGCCAAACTACAACTCCCATGATTCTTTCAATGAAACAGATAGCCAGGGAATCATGTGAGTTGTAGTTCAGCAACATCTGGGGGGCATGCCTTAGAGCATTGGATTAACCAGCCAGCAGTATTCTCAGTAGATGAATAGCTTGCAGGTTGGATAAAATAAACAACAGTGATAACGTGAAAGTGTTATTTCCATATTATCATTGAGGCTGAAGAGGGGATAATCTCCAGGCACTGGGAATAGCTGTTGCTAAATGGTTTGACATTCAACAGGTGATAATGTTGGAACTCTCTGGGCAACATAAGTACTACAGCGAGCTGTAGTGGTTATATTCCTTAGGGTGTCACTGTACCCACTGTAAGAGCTGGATTAATCATAAGGTGGCATAGGCAGCTGTCTACAGCCTTTTATCTGGGCATGGAGGCCCTCCAAAAGCCGTCAAATTATTTCCCTGCTCAGCCCTGTGCCCTTTACTACATCAAGGGAGCTTCATGGTCTGCACCTCTATCAGGTGCAGATCACTTTAAGAGCTCTCTCGCGGTAAGCTCTTATTTAGCATATGTTTATAGAGTCAGTGCTCTGAGTCATTGACTGGGCACCAGACAGAGAGTTGACTTTTAAGTCAATCACAGCGCTCCCGCTGAGCACTTAAAATGTGGAAAAGCCTTTATAAAAGTTTTCACTGCCCTTAATGCTCAATCTGAGTGGAGCACTAGATGGCTCACATGGTTTTTACTGTTTCCTGAGTAATTTTACAAATTGTGTTTTTTAATTTTAGTATAAACAAAACTAATAGCACACGTCCTCTATAAAAATAGCTCTTTATTAGTACAAAATATTTATGGGATATAAACACACTTAATCAATATAAAATCTAATGCACAAGCAATGTATATAATAATAAAAATTCATGTATACCATTAGACCTAAAGTGTTACTTAAAAAAATTGTATCAAGAGAGTGGAGACCACAGGCTGTAAGACTTTGTTGCCTAATGGTACAGGCGGATTAAGGGCATGAAACGCGTTAGGACAAGTGTGATGTGTTCCCTGCACTTGGCACTAATTTATGCAACACGTTATTTGGAATCATGAAGATCCACATTGGCTACATTTAATAATATGGAGAGTTCATGGATGCCATGCCGATGAATGATATTATTAATTTGAGGCCCCTAATGTCTACTGGCTGGCTTTTAATAACAACAGCTTATGACAGATATTAAAAAATAGGTTGCTTACTTCAGTCTTTAAAATGATATTTTTGCATCTTCTTCTTGAAATGTAATTCTTTTAAAAGCTATGTGAAGACGATAACTCCCTCCTTTTATGTTTTGTTTTTCGTATCTGTCTTAAAAAGTAAAATATGTTAATTTATAGCTGCAGAGATTATCAAAAATTGCTGAAGTTCTAAGAGTTTCCCTTACAGCGGTAAATCAGGCAGCCTGTAAATCTCAGTTGCAGGTCACCTGTGTGTTTGTATGGTACGTGGCTCTGACAATAGCTGCACATAGCAGTGAACCAGGCTATTTGTAAACGGATAGCAGCGACGATATCAGCGGAACAGCACTTTGCGTATAAACTATTTATTCCATAAACACGCACGTTGTGATGGTTCTTAGAATGACCCTTTATTATCTACCTTGTATCTTTCTTACAGCTGAGGTTTCTGTGTTCCCTTTACATAGTGCTAAGTGGTTTCATATTTCATGCACCGTGAAACTACATTCTAAGTATATGTCCTTGCTAGAAGTCAGTTATACAAAATTACTGATTATGTTCTAATATCAAGTTGGCTCAGTGCAATACAACAATACAGCGTTTATATGTTTGCCTAAAACAATTGAAGATTATATTAGCTTTAGTGTACTAATAATCTTAATTTTAGTAATGACAGGAGGCGAATATTTGCATATCTTTCTTTACTCAAAACTCCAGCAGCATAGTAACATAAACAACCAATCAGAAAAAAGATATAATGCCCATAAAAGACCCTGTCTATGACATCACTTCCTCTTTCTTTGAAGCGAAACAATAAATAACAACAAGAGACATAATCATATTACGTCAACAGTTCAACAACATATTAGAATATCCAACTCCATTAGTTCCGCGATGCAGAGGTATGGAAGGTGAATCTTTGTCTCGATGAGAAGACGTTCACGCTGCAAGAAAAAGAAAAAGGTGAAAGGTATCTGGCGTGATAACTTGTCCGCATACAATAAGCATTAAGCATCTGATATACCAACGAACATTAGAATGTGAAACATATCAATATATATTTATTCTAACGCAATGATATTTAAGAATATATAAACACAACATAATGCAAGGTTCATGTCTAGTATTCAGCCAATACAAGACCCACAAGTTACAGGTCTAAGTAGCAAACATACAAACCATACGTACTTACCTTCATGAACATAAAGGACATATTCTGTTCAACACAAGAAACATGGGAGGGATTCTATAGGGTGGGAAATATTCGCCTCCTGTCATTACTAAAATTAAGATTATTAGTACACTAAAGCTAATATAATCTTCAATTTTACCACATGACAGGAGGCTTCATATTTGCATTTTTAAAGCTTTGAATTGACCAATGTGAAGGAAGCATGAGATGTTTGCCGAAAATAGAACGTTCTAAACGTACTCTCTCGCGCTCAGTCCGCGCAGCGTATAATGTCGGCTAGGGAAGCGTCGGCCGAAAAGGTTTGTGAGGCCGCCGCTCCCCTGACCGAGTGGGCTCCGAAACAAGGTTCGACGCTAAAGACAAAAACCAGCGGACCCATCTGGCCAGTGTTGCGGTAGACACCGGTCCATGAGGGTTCACGTAAGAAGTCAGAAGGTGATCCGTCGAATGAGTTCGAAGGGGGTAGAGATATTGGTGTACCCCATTAGCGTTCTGACCACGCATAGTGAGGCGTCTGACACAAAGCATGGGTATGACTCTGAAGACGAAACAGACTTAGTTCATCTCGACATGGTAAAGGTAACCCCGTCTGGTGTGAGAGAGAAACCATCCATATCGCAAGCCCTAACGTCCGCCACCGTCTAAATGAGGCGAGGCATAATAAGAGGGCTAGTTTGGCTGAAAGTTGCTTCAGTGACAAACAAGGATTGTCCGGCCATTCCCTAAGGAATCTCAGCACCACATCCACCTGCCAGAGGCGTGAATATTTGGGTGCAGGGATCTCGACAATTCGACACCCCACAGTAGTCGACAAACCAGTGTATCTTGACCTACTGGTCTGCTCTGTACCGGAACGTGCGCCGCCAATATCTGCGTATATCGGCGGATCTGATCACTTTGAGGGATCGATATGACCGACCCAACGAGACCAGGTGTGACGGATAGTTGAGGGTCAGTGGGACAGGTGCGGTAAAGGGATCGGAATCCCTTTCCACACACCACTCACTCCAGGCCGACCAGGCAGAAATATAGCCTTTCCTGGTGCCGGGAGCCTATGAGTCCCATAGGAGGTCTTAGTTGATGCAATAGGTTGTGAACTGACCAGGAGCCCCTGAAGCCGTCCAGGCAACTAGTGCCAGTTGTCCTTCCATGACAAGGGAGTGGGCTTCCCCTCGAGGTCCCGTCAGAAGTAGAGGGAAGGTAGGGAGTAGTAGAGGGTCTCCGCGAGACATCTCCAGGCGATCCGGGAAATCACGGTTGGCCCTGCCCGAGGGGTATCATGAGCAGGAGCGATATCTTGTGGGTGTGTGTGGGGGTTCATCCATCGCCCCGTATCCGAAGGAAGAGTCAAAGATCGTTTTGCCAATCCAAGTTTGTATGTGAAGTAATCACCATCGAAATTCCATCCTCACTTCCGCTGACAGTGGGATCCAGTGGTCGTATGAGTGACCGGTGCGTACGTATCTCACCATCAGTCGTAGTGGGCCAGGGAATAACGCTTGTATGGAGGGGGAGAGGAATCTCACAATCCGACAGCTATCCTTATAGAGGCGCTCTTTGCCGTAGACGGACGCGGAACTTAGTTCTCCAAGCCGATGTCGAAACCGAGGAACTGGCCCGATTCATATGGAGAAGCGATCTTTGTCTGTGTACAACAAAAAACCCATGGAGTCCCGAAAGTGAACGACAAAATTTGTCTGCAAACGTAGCCTGGATTCGTAAAGAATCAGCAAGTCTTCCAGGTATACGAGGCATCGCACGCCCAAATTTACGGATGTGTGCCCTCACTGGTTACAGTAGGTTCGCGAGCACCACGGAGTCGTAAACTGCCGTGTTTGTCCTCACCATTGGAATCGGAGGAAAACTTCGGCAGTCCAGGGCAACGGGTACTGACAAGCGTGCGTCCTTGAGGTCCAGATGTGTAAACCAGTCGTTATCGCCTAGGAGGTCTTGTAGAAGACGAATTTCCTCCATCTTGCAGCATTTGTATACCATGTAGGAGTTCCATTGATGTAGTCTCCTGGCTTCTTCTTGACCAGGAAAAATTTGCTGGGGAAGCCTTCCCCTCCGGTGCATGTTGAATTGCGCCCCTCCTGAAGAGGGTGCAAATTTTCTTGTCCACGAGGCGTTCCTGTTCCGCCAGCGTGCGTAATGGAGGTGAAGGGGCGACCTGCACAGCTGTGATAAAACTCTATGACATAGCCTTGTACTGTCTGGAGAACCCAGGTGACTTTGGTAGTCGTCTCCCAATTCTGTAAAACAGAGACAGGTTGCCGGTCATAATATTGGAAACAGTTAGTTATGTAGGTTGACACACTAGTAGATGAAGCGGATGGGTTCCTTTGTGTATTAGATGGGAGAAATATGAGGACCGTGTATACGATCTGGAACCTGTCGCCCAGAAGCGGCTGGTGGCTCGGTTCAGTTACCGACCAGTCCTCCCAGAAACACCTTTCCCCGTAGGGTTGTGGAAGACTTGTTTTAGCCAGGTCTGGGTTTAATTTAGTGTGGTGAATAAATTCACGTGTTTCTTGAATACTGCAATGAACACTACGTCGAATAGTAGGCCTTGTGCTTTTGGGCCGAATTCTTGTCGTTCCTAAGTCCAATAGTGTGTTGTCGATGCGGCCAAGTACAGATTTGCGTCTGTCGGCGCATAGTGCGTCATTTACGTTGCCCAGGAGGCATATCGAGCATTAAGACCGTTCTTTGGAGGTGGTAGGGTTGAGTTGTGTACCCTGGGGTAACTCGGTCTTGAGGCGTGCGCATCCTTCCATCCCCCGAGGGTTGCGCAGCCAATAGTGTTCGTCCAGGAACGTTCCGTCTTCGGCTACTCTGGTTTAGTGCCGTTACAGTTATCTCTGTCTCAGCCACCGTCCCAGAGTAAGGTTTTCCTAACGTACTTCGAGGAAGTGTGGGGAAGGTCTTGCCGTTCCATTTCCTCAGACGGTGGGCTGTCTTCGTGTCGCTCATCTACCATGTCCAAAGTACGTGGTGGGTAATAGTCTTCTTGGTCGGAAGATTGTGGCGGGCGGGGTTTGGATTCCCGGTGCTCCGCCTATTTGGTCTGTTCGATGGGCGTCTTGCCCTTGACCTTAGTGGCAGGGGGCTGGAGCCCTTCCCTTGCCATTTTGACTTGAAGGCTTGTGGGCCTGAGGTCTCCATCAAGCGGTGTGGGGTAGAGTTCATAACAGAACCTTCTCCACTGAGGCTGTTACTGTGGCGTGTATCGTTGCCTAGAAATCTTGGGAACGTTGAGAGTGTCCACCATGACTCGTTCCCGTCCTGTTGTGAGATAGTGTGAGGGTCAGCACATAGGGGTGTTAGACTCCTGGTAGAACTGGGGATCACCCAGGTAAAAACAGTTTGAATTGCCTGCTTTAGTATGTCTGAGAGTATGAATACTCGTGCCAAGTGTAGAGGGGTCACCTCTATTAGTTTAATCTGGCTACTGAGAGTCGTGGTGCAGGCGGTGACTGGTAGTGGTGTCGGTCTGGCTAGCCGGGTTCACCACAAATGTACGCCAGAGCTGTATGCACGGTTTTTAACTATACAGGCTTAGTATATAGGCGCATGGGGCCTGTCTCCATAAGGTCTGCAGCCGCAGGACCCATGTCTATTAGGCTGGGTTCATCCCAGGTGGTGTGCCATGGTAACCCAGAGGACACCCATATTATAATTATTGGCACCTTACAAGCATTGCATGCATATCTGGGGGTCCTCCCAGGTGGTGTGCCATGAAAAATTACCCAGAGGACACCCACGTTCAATATGTACACTAGGCACAGTAAATATACATATATGTATCCCTGTGAAGGGTATACCGCAATACACTCAGTTTTCTTAGTGATCCTGCCGTCAAAACGCATCCGGCATGGTATTGTTGCTTTAATGTAAAACTGACAGGCAGTGTGGCGTAGGCCTCCGTGCATATGATCGGGGTTCACCCCGGGTGGTGTGCCATGGTAGCCCAGAGGACACCCACATCAAAGGTAATGGTCTGTCAGTGACCTTGCATGCATATCTGGGGGGTTACCCCAGGTGGTGTGCCATGAAAAAAAAAATACCCAGAGGACACCCACATAAATTTGCACCGTCAGGTACAGTAATATAATATGACCCTCTGTAGGGTACAATAATATAATATAATATGCCCTTTGTAGGGTACAGTAACACAATATGCCCTTCGTAGGCTACAGTGATATAGTTGATCTTGTTATAGGCACAGTATATGTTTTGTATAACGACTGTGATATTGTACGGCTTCACAATAATACATAGATTGTGTGCCTGCTCAACATATAATCATCCAGTGTAAGGCACCATGAGAGATATATCCATGAGAATAAAATATAATAATTGTATCAATAAATGAATGTGCCCAGAGAGGGGGACCCCTGAAGGGGTTAATCCAGATGCAGGGCGCGGTGATCGGGTGATTCCTGTAGGGTATAGAAATATAGTATGACCCTGTGCAGGGTATAGTAATATGGTATGACCCTGTACCTAACTCTGATCTTGTGGAGAGTATAACAGTATATAGTATAACCCTAATTGGGGTATATTAACTGGTATGACCCTAAGCAGGGTATAGAGACATAGAGGTCTTGAGCTGGCAACAAAAAGGGGGTGCTTGTCTCTTTTAATTCATATATTGTAAATGGGCAGCACAGCAGGCAGGCACTGGGCAAAAATATCACCTGCTACACTAATACCCTCGCTAGTACACACTAGGGAGGGTATACAGATGTGGAGCCCGGCGGTCGGGTGAGTTACCGATCCGCCGGGCAAGCGGGGAAGGCGGCCGTCCGGTATCTCGCGAGCCGCGAGATCCAAGATGGCCGCCGCCCGCGTGTGAAGGTGCGCCGCGATCGACCGCGCGGCGCCGGAACGAAAAAAAAAAAAGGGGGGAAACGCACACAGCACTGTTCCCAGTCCCCCTCCACCCGTCCCTCTACCGGCCCCCACGAAGAAAAAACAGGAAACCGGCCCGCGGCGCGCGGCACTGACAGCCGTGCTCGCGGGTATCGGCCGTGGAAAGTAATAGGGGGGGGGGCCTAAAACCGTGCAGGGACAGGGATAAGGGGACCCGAAAATAAACCCACGAAAAATAAGTAAATAAAAAACAGTAAATTAAAACAATACAGTAAATGAAACAATACAATCAAATATATAGTGAAAACAAAACCAAAAATATGTGAAAACGAAAAAAACAATGTATATAAGCAATTGCCAGAGAGGCAAAATACTCTGACCTGATGTTGGCTGGAGCAGCAAAGAAAGAGGAAGTGATGTCATAGACAGGGTCTTTTATGGGCATTATATCTTTTTTCTGATTGGTTGTTTATGTTACTATGCTGCTGGAGTTTTGAGTAAAGAAAGATATGCAAATATGAAGCCTCCTGTCATGTGGTAAAATTGGTGATTGTCTGCATTAAAACCAGAGTCGGTTCAGCAAGAGGATTTCAGCAATAGTTTGTTTCTGACGTTACCTTGTGTCTCTGTCTCTGTTTGGCAGGCCTGTGAATGTTGCTTCTCTCCCAGCATTCATTGGAGTACTGCTGTTAAGGCAGCAGTAACTGGATATCCTTCCGACTCCAGCCCAAATGTCCCTCCTCCACACTTACTGCCTAATGCAAACACTTCAGTGGCCAAAATGTTTAATTACAAAGTTATCTCTGTTAAAAATTAAAGTGCTTTTCAGAGGGGAGAGGGGAGAGGGGAGGCTCCTGCACTGCATAACAATTTATTACTGTTTTGGAAATGAAAAATATAAAAAACAAAAACATGATGATAAGTTACACATAGTTATACTAAACTAAATTTAAAATTTTTCTCAAAATCAGCTATTTATGGCTCATTTTTGAGATTTGGATTTTATTCTCTAAATTTCAAATTTTAATGGAAAACCAATTAAAAACAGACAGATTTAAGTCTGTGATCGCTGTTCTTGTAATGTGCGTTTTACATGGTTTTTAATGTCCATTCAGTAGCAATTGGGGATGCAGCACAGCATTTATTTCCAAATAAATTACTCATATAATGACCAGTTCAGCCATTTTAAGGTAAGCCAGCACCTGGTTACCTCCTCGCACCACAACAACAATTGCAATTAAGTTATTAAGGTGTCTGGAGTGTCTCATTAATCATGAGCAATTAGTGGTTTTGCTGTCACATGCGCTTTGAGCATTTTTAGAAGTATTTGCAGACAATGTCCATGTCTTTTGCATGGATTTTGCTCACAGCAGAAATGTATTCTATTGTGTTAACAGGGATTTGGTGTAATGTTAGGGTGATTTAGGATTAGGGGGTTTGGAGTTTTAGTTGAAATGTCATTGGTTCTGTATCTGGGGAATTGGAATAGAATGAAGACAGTTAAAATAACTGGCTTGTAAAAAAACAAACAACATTTAGCTTAATTGTTGTCTGACTCATCTTTACAGCCCAGGTCTCTTTGCTTTAAAGGAACACTCTAGCATTAGGAATAATTAAGTTTATTTCTAATGATCGCGTGTTTATTTGGAATTCAGGGCCCTCCCATTTTCCTGTACAAAAATAGGTTACTTATTTTTAATCAGCAGCCAAACTGTTTTCATGCTGCATTCTCTAGTGAGAATCTCCCAGGCCAATTCAAAGCTTCTAATAGAGAAGGATTGCGGTCGCAAGGCATAAGACTAGTAAGAATGCTTCTACAAGTATTGAAGCCAATGTTTTTCTAACAGGGTCATTCACTAAAATGAAAATTACCAGAAATGTAAAGTGAATTTCTAATTAAAGGCAAAAATAGCCAGCCTGGAAAGATCTTCCAAGTGAAATACATTGGCCGTAAATTTCAAATTTACTTTGAACTCCCAAGAAGTCTTACCCTAGTTAATAACCTTGTATGGGAGGCCCTCAATTTTCCTTTGAACGTGTGAGGAAGAGCACCCTCCTGATTAATTTACAGTCAGGGTGCAACTGAGGACATGCATTTCTATTGCATGAACAATATACAGGTATAATAAACTTATTAGCATAATAAAATAAATAAAATGAAGATGTACACAATGAGACTGAAAATGGATATAAGGGACATATCTCTTATTTAAAGGATTTGAAAAACATTGTTGATAACCATTCACCAATAAATCATAAGCCTAAGAGTAACACTCTTTTTTTTTTACAGTTTATACAAGTGCCAATTTCACTATAAATTACTAGATTTTACTATTTTATAACATGAAGTCATGTTTTTATTAGTGACACAGAGATGAGTATTATGCTGCACTCTTTCTTGATTTCCAGCAGCAAAGAAATATAACATTAACCCCTTGCCGACTGATGACGGTCCTGAACCGTCATAACGGAAAACGGGAGGCGGGAGCAATTAGAGATCGCTTCCACTGAAATCCCGTTGTTACTATCTGCCCGGCATCCCAGGCAGATAGTAACAGCCAATTGCGGCCCACGATCGCTCACAATTGGCTGATGTCAAAGTGGGTGTTACAAACACTCACTTTGACACTGATCTCTGCCTCTCTCTCCTCTGTAGCATTTTGTGAGGCGAGAGAGACAGAGATCAGAGAGGATAGTTTGTTGCCAGTGTTAAAAGAGTTGCTAGAAGTGTCAAAACCTGTAAAAAAGTTTAAAAAAAAAAATACATTTTAACCCCTTCCCTGCCAAGTCCTATTACAGCAGTGCATTAGTACTGTCTGTAATTTTTTATTTTTTTTGCCCTTAAGGGTTTTTTTTCTTGTCAAAAAGCTGCTTTAGTGTGTTTTAGTGTGTTTTAGGGTGTTTTATTGTGTTTTATAATTTATTTTTTTAAAAGCGTCAAACTTTAGTTAGTCAGTTTCCTACCCCCAAATCTCTATTAGATTCTCTTTGCAGGAGTTAGTTTAGGGATTGCCGCTAAAGTCTGTTTTAGTCTATTTAAAAAAAAAACTTTAACCCCTTAAGGACACATGACATGTGTGACATGTCATGATTCCCTTTTATTCCAGAAGTTTGGTCCTTAAGGGGTTAAAAAAACTTTGTGTTAGCAATTTGTTAGTTTTGTGTTGGTGAAACATGCAGCACATGTATAGCTTGGAGGAGGCATATGCCTTCTTGGCGTCAGACTCTGACGCCACTCACACTGCGTCCGATTTTGACCCAGGTCAGTTTAGCGACATGTCTAGTGACACGTCATCTGTCTGTGAGCCGGCTGCAAAAAGAAGCTGTGCTTCATCTGCTACGCCGAATGTGGAGGAGGACTGGGTACCTCCACAGTTAGTTAACGCAGGCATTAATGTCAATGTGCAGGACTTCTCCGCTATGCAATATATGGAGTTATTTTTGTAGGATACCATCTGGGAGGAGATTGCTTCCCAGACTAATCTCTATGCTACCCAATTATTTGATGCAAATCCAGGTAGCTATGTAGTCAGGGAGCATGCTTGACATCCCACATCCCTGAACTCCAAAAATTCCGGCCTTTTACCATGCTCATGGGGATAATAAAGAAGCCCTCAATCCGCTCTTACTGGAGCACCAATCCAATCTGTTCTAGTCCTATATACTCCCAAACAATGTCTAGAGCAAGATATGAGTTGGTGCTGCGATATTTGCATTTCAATGATAATACCCTCTGTCACCTCAGAGATCACCCCCAATATGACAGGCTTCACAAAATACGCCCACTAGTAGACCATCTGCAGCAAAGATTTTCTGCCGTTTATACTCCACAGCAAAATGTATCTGTTGATGAATCCCTTATGAAATATAAAGGGAGATTGGGGTTCAAACAGTACATTCCCTCAAAGCGCGCTAGGTATGGTGTCAAGTTTTACAAATTGTGCGAGAGCGAAAGTGGCTATACGTTTACCTTTCGCGTATATGAGGGGAAAGATGGTCAACTGGACCCTCCTGGCTGTCCTTACTCTCTGGGGACAAGTGGGAAAATAGTTTGGGAGCTACTGACCCCCTTGTTCAATATGGGTTACCACCTTTATGTGGGCAATTTCTATAGTAGTGTCCGTTTGTTTAAATCGCTTTATAGTTTGCAGACACTGGCCTGCGGCACTGTTATAAAAAATTCCAAAGAGTTCCCCAGACCTCTCATAGAGGCCAAATTAAAAAAAGGTCAATGCAAAGCTCTGCACAAAGCTGAAGTGCTTGCAATTAAATTTAAGGACAGGAAGGATGTTAACATGCTAACCACCATCCATGACGAAAGCATGTCAGACGTCACTGTCCGAGGCAGAGTAAATTCCAAACCTGTTTGCGTCAGGGCTTATAACAGGCACATGGAGGGTGTAGATTTGGCTGATCAGCTCATGCAGCCATATCTTATTTTAAGAAAAACTAAAGCCTGGTACTAAAAGGTGGCTATCTATCTGATGCAAGTAGCAACCCACAATTCGTTTATACTTTTTAAAAAAATGAATCCTGGAAGAACCACCTTTCTCCAATTTCAACTAAAAGTGATTTCAACAATCATTTATGGAGATGGTTCCGTTGAAGTTCCAACAACGGTGCCAGAGGAATCAAGAATTGGTGCTACGCATTATATTTTTAAGATCCCCCTACTGCAAATAAAACAAATCCCCAGAAACGTTGCCCGGTCTGTTACAAAAAAGGGAAACGGACAGACACCCCTTTCATTGTCCTGATTGCCCTTCAAAACCCGGATTATGTATTGGAACATGTTTTAAGCTCTACCACATAGAGCATACCTTTTTGTAAGACTTGTTCCTGAATTTTTTTTTTGTTTCTTTTGAAAGCAGAACATTTTAGTTTACTTTCCCCAAATCTCCAGTTAGATTCTTTTTGTAGGAGTTAGTTCAGAGATTGCTGCTAAAGGTGCATTTGATACCTGCACATTTGGTTAAAAAAGTATTGTGGCCGAAATCTAAAAGCAAAGTGTGTATGAAAAACAGAATTAAAAAATTACCACCACACACTTTCTCTGAATATTAAGGGGCAAAATGGTTGGGGAAAAGAAGTCAAAACCTTGGATGTGTACTTTATACAAATATATACTTTCATACCATAAATTCAACTTGGGGAATGGAAAAATGCACCACACTCAACATGTGCCTAGCAAAGCAAGCAAACTATATTCAGCCAAAACGGGCAAGTCCAAAATTTGTTACTGTAAAATCATGGCAAACCAATGCATGGGGGGCCATAGGTGTACTCAGGGGACTTTGCAGAAAAAAAAACTGGGGTGTTTTCTGGCAGTAACATATAACCTGCTGGCTAAAATCAAAACGCAGAATTCACAAATTATCACCATGCAGGTTCTCTGAAAATATTTTAGCACAATGGTTGGGGAAATTATGTTAAAACACCCCATATAAAATACCCTGGAATGTCTACTTGATGAAAAATATACACTTTCATGATGGTAACACTAACTGGGGGATGCAAAAATACACCAAACTGGAGATAGGCCAAGCATACCTATATATCAAGTTGAAAAACTGACATGCACAAGTCTCTGTCGTGGCCTTTTAGCCCCCAAACAACCCAGCAAACCTGTGCATGGGTGGTATCACTGTACTCAGGAGATGTTGCTGAACACATATTGGGGTGTTGTATGGCAGTGACACATAACAGGATCTTTAATTCATGCCTAAAGTACAAAGTGTGTGGAAAAATACACAAAAAAAAATTACTACCCAAAAGTTTGACAAAGGCTGGTGGTAGAATTCAGTGCATGGAAAGTGTTAAAATACCACCATTTGAAATATCCTAGGGTGTCTACTTTTCAAAAATATATAGTTTGATGGGGGTAAAATACATTGGCCGGCCTTACAAATGTCCCAAATAGGACATATGCGCAGGTTGACTACATGTCAAAATTCCAAGTTGGAAAATGGATATGCGCACCTGCCAAATGTGGCCTTTTAGACCCCAAACAACCCGACAAGCCTATGCATGGGTGGTATCACTGTACTCGGGAGATGTTGCTGAACACATATTAGTGTGTTTTTTGGCAGCAACACATAACAGGGTCTGTGAATTTATACCTGAATTGCAATGTATGTGAAAAAAAAAAACTACCTATGCGAAGTTTGGTATAGACTGGTGGTAAAATGGCTGCATAGAAAGTGTCAAAATATCCTTAGATTAATTCCATGGGTTGTCTACTTTAAAAAAAGATATATACATGTGGGGTGTTTTCCAGAGATTTATGACAGATAATAGTGTTACAATGTCACTATTGATAAAATTTAAAAATGTATGTTTTGAAACCGCAATATCCTACTTGTACTTATAGCCCTATAACTTGCAAAAAAGCATGTAAACACTGGGTATTTTTAAACTCAGGACAAAATTTTGAATCTATTTAGCAATTTTTTTCATTATCTTTTGTAGGTTAGTAAAAGATTTTTCAAGTAAAAGTAAAAAAACATGTATTTTTTTCAATTTTTTATCATATTTTTTATTTTATTTTATTTTTAAATTAGATTACATGTGATTATATAAATAATGGTATGTAAAGAAAGCCCCTTTTGTCCTGAAAAAAACAATATATAATTTGTATGGGAACAGTAAATGAGAGAGCATAAAATTACAGCTAAACACAAACACCACAAAAGTGTAAAAAGAGGCCTGGTCCATAACGTACAACATCACAAAAACAGGCCGGTTCTTAAGGGGTTAAAAAAATAATCATACAACATACAGGTATATATAACATCAGAGGTCAATCTTCCAAGTAAACGGAACAGACTAATAGCATCCAGTCCTTGGCATAATAGGCGGTAACCATTAGATCACTTCCTCTTTCTTGAAATCCCGAAGAGAAACAGAACATCCAGAACCATGGATAAAACAAATCCACAACAGGAATTCAGTACAGAATCACCAACGTGACCTCGAAGTTAAGCTGTAAAATAGAAACAACATGGTAACATGCAAGCCGTAACTGGATGCATGCATCGTAATTTACTGCAAAATATACATCAATCATAATATATCATATAAAGATATAAAGGTGTGTAGGTGCTACCAAATTGCAGAATACAAAATGACTGGTGTAGTGAAAGTGTATCCCACAACACTTTAAAAATAGACAATGGAAAATTAAAACAAATACTGCACCAGTCAGCGAAATACAAATAGCAGGATCAATCTAGTAAACAAAAATATAAAAACAAAGTGCAAACTGTGTGTATATATAATAAACCCCTATTTAGGATGGAACTCACAGGATGCAGAGCCGTCCAAGGCTCTATATGATGTGCAGGAGGGTGCCTAATAGGGCTAGAACAATATGCTTGAAGGAGAGCAGCACGGGATACAAATAAAACAAAAAATGTATTGATAAACTTTAAAAAAGATGAGAACAATAAAGCAGTGCAAATAATGTATAATAAATATACTGGGCAAACAAGCCTAAGTAAACACCACAGGAAATAAAAAGTCCCAAAATAGTAAATGAAAGTCTAGTAGCAAACGCGTTTCAACTCTGGCTGGAGTCTTCTTTAGTGCTGCAGTGCTCTCTCCTCAGTAGCTATAAATACCCTTCTGAATCAATCTTCAAACTTTCCCGGCTGTGTGTCCTTCTATTTCCGACATGGCATATCCCCGTCATCACGTTGCGCCCATCACGTGATGCAACGTGGCTACGTCATTTCCAGTCCCTCGGTATTGATAAACTTTAAAAAGATGAGAACAATAAAGCAGTGCAAATAATGTATAATAAATATACCGGGCAAAAAAGTGCAACGCGGCTACGTCATTTCCAGTCCCTCGGTCATTGGAGTTAAGGCCCACTAGAAACAGTCCCATATTAAGAGTGGGCAAAATTGCCAACAATCAGAGTAGATTGCGGAACTCCTGGGGTTGACCAAGGTTCCCTGAAATCAGCCACACCACAAGACGTAGAAGCCCTGGAGGATTAGTAGGTGAAACTGACCATCTGGGTCTTGGAGGAGAGAATCGTACAACGGGAGAAGGCAAGGAAAATCTATTGCCATCTCCAACAGATGAGGGAACCACGGTTGTGATAGCAATAGGGGGGTCACAAGCACCCACACACTCTGTTGGCGACATAGCTGCAATAGGCAGCGATGAATCAGTGCAAACGGGGGAAAGGCGTAGTTCATTTACGTAGACCAATCTTGGGAAAAGGCGTTTGTTGCCAGAGCATTCGGGTCTGGTCTCCAGCTGAAAAAACGAGAAATTTGAGCATTCAGATGAGAGGCGAAGAGATCTATTCCCAACGGTCCCAGGGGTCTGTGATTTTCTGGAACATTAAAAGGGTCCAGATGACAGTCGCTGAAGTCTTTGAGATGATGGGAGTACCAATTCCGCTGTCAACATAATGTTGTGCATAAGGCAATATTTCCAAAATTCACGTGCCATGTTCGCCAGGACTTTGGACCTCATGCCTCTTAAATGGTTGATGTATCTGACTGCTGAAACATTGTCCATCTTCAGTAGGATTGTTATTGTGAGTGAGTTGGAGAGAGGCTGCGCACAGCAAAGGATCCATCCAGAAGCTCCAGGCAATTGATATGCAGTGTGGATTCTAGATCTGACCATCTGCCTATATTTCCACAACGCGCACCCCAACAGTGTAAGCTAGCATCCGATTCTATGGTCAGGTCTGGGGTGGTTCCGAAGATAGTGCGTCCATTCCAGGTTTCCATGTGGAGAAGCCACCAATGAACCTCATCTTTCGCCTCTTGGTCTAACATCACCATGTCTTCGTATGATGCTCCACCTCTGAGGTAGGAAGCCTGTAGCCGGGAATATGGCTTGGATGAAAGCCGCAAGGAGTCCAATGACTCATGCCAAATGTTTGAGGGAGAGTTGGGGAGTAGCCAGCATACATCTGATTTCTTTTTTGATATTTACCAGCTTCGCTTTTGGTAAATGTAGAGTCTGGAGAGTGGAATTGACTACTAGTCCCAGGAATTCGATATGTTGGGAGGGAGCCAGCACAGATTTTTCCCAGTTTATAAGGAAACCTAGGTTTGTTAGCAGCGTCAGAGTCCACGTCAGGTGTGTGTGGAGAAGACTGGCTGACTGAGCCAAGATGAGGATATCGTCTAGATAGATGATATGTCGGATGCCTCGACTGCTTAATAGAGCAACCACGGGTTTCATAATCTTGGTGAAACACTATGGGGCCGACGACAGTCCGAATGGGAGGCACCTGAATCTTAATTTTCGACCTTACAATGGGAACTGGAGAAAAATTTGATGTTGCTCCGCTATAGGTACCGTGAGGTAGGCGTCCTGTAAATCAAATTTGGCCATCCAATCCACTGGTTGGAGTAAGTTGCGAAGACAATGTACACCTTCCATCTTGAAATGGTGGTAGGATAAATAACTGTTCAGTTGTTTTAGGTTTATGACTGATCTCACCCCACCACCTTTTTTGGGGACCAGGAATAGATTGCTGACATAACCCGGAGCATGGGTCAGGATCTCTGTGATGGCTTGTTTGCGCCTCAGTTCTAGAATCTCCTTAGATACAAGAAGAGCATCTTGTTGGGAAAAAACTATTTCTCTGGGAGGAGATGTTTGGATCGGGAATGATACAAAGTCTATGTGATAACCCGACACGGCATGAAGGACCGAAGCATCTGAGGTCAGATGCGCCCACACATGAGGAAAATGCATGAGTCTGCCCCCCACTACCAGTAGGGAAGAAAGGGAAGTGTTGACATTTACCATAAGGTCGTCTTCCAGAAGGAGCTCCTTGAATGCCCCTAGCGACCCAGGGTCTGCCTCACTGCGGGAAGAATGCTGGTGCTGCCCTTTGCTCTTGGAAACCAGCTCGCCCCGAATAGGAGCCTCGGTTCTGTCTATAAGAACCTCTTTGCATACGGCCAGACGGATGGCTCCTTCATCTTCCGGCTGGGCTTAATCATTTTCCTCATATTATTTTGGGCTTTATCCAAAGCCATAAAGGTGTGGACAAATTACCCCAACTCCTTAACAAACCAGTAACCAAATCGTAACCCTTTAACTTGAACACCTGGCTCGTTAAGAGCTAAATTTACCAGTTTAGGTTAGATTTTAAGGAAGATGGACTTGCGGCGCTCTATAGCAAGCTCGATATTTACATTGCCAACTAGGCAGATGATACATTGGATCCAACCACAGATGTGAGAGGTGTCTCGATCCAGATCCCGGTCGTCTTCGACGGCATCATATATTTTGTCAGCAGTGCCTAATATGTCCAGGACCTTGTCCTGACAGTGGGTCAATGAAAAATCCAAACCCTTTCTGGGTTTCCATCCAGTTTTCCCCAAAAACTGAACGATTTTAGGATCCACAACTGCGTGTTTTACGCGCATCATAAGGGACCGTAGGGGGAGGGCATTCTGACGGCAACTTGTACCGTGTAGCCTTGTCCAAGGGTTAAAGGACCACTATAGTGCCAGGAAAACAAACTCATTTTCCTGGCTCTACAGTGCCCTGAGGGTGCCCCCACCCTCATGGCCCCCCTCCCGCCGGTCTGAAGTTGGAGGAAGGGGTTAAACACTTACCTTTTTCCAGCACCGGGCTCCCTCGGCGCTGGGGACTCTCCTCCTCCTTCCGACGTCATCGGCTGAATGCGCATGCACGGCAAGAGCCGCGCGCGCATTCAGTCAGTCCATAGGAAAGCATTTCTCAATGCTTTCCTATGGACGCTGGCGTCCTCTCACTGTGAAAATCACAGTGAGAAGCGTGGAAGCGCCTCTAGCGGCTGTCAATGAGACAGCCACTAGAGGCTGGATTAACCCATATGTAAACATAGCAGTTTCTCTGAAACTGCTATGTTTATAGCAGGAAAGGTTAAACCTTGATGGACCTGGCACCCAGACCACTTCATTGAGCTGAAGTGGTCTGGGTGCCTATAGTGGTCCTCTAACCCCTTAAGGACCAAACTTCTGGAATAAAAGGGAATCATGACATGTCTAGAGGCGATGTACCTTGCTACATGCTCTGAAGGGCACCACTCCGCTTTACGGTCTTGTGGAACCGGTGTTAGCATGGATGCAGTCGACAGGGCAGTCTGCTAGGCAGACTGTTGAGCCTGTAATGGGACTTGCGTAAAGGTGTGTGACAAAGAAGTCGACATTGTGCCCATAGCAGACATCAAAGCCTGCGTTGTAGACCTGGACATTGAGGCATCCAAAAGCGCCTGCATATCTGCAGTAGCCAGAAAATCAGGAAACAAAACCCCGTCCCCCACAGGTAATGGGCAAATCTCTGTCAGGCTGCATGATAAGTACAGAATATAATATAATACAATAGGAGGAAACCTAAAATAGGGTTGATTAACCCACAAGGGAAAAAAACTTGAAATAAAATCACAGTTAAAGGACCACTATAGCCACCCAGACCACTTCAGCTCAATGAAATGGTCTGGGTGCCAGGTCCCCCAGGTTTTAACCCTTCAGATGTAAACATGTTTACATTGCAGGGTTAATCCAGCATCTAGTGGCTGTCTTCCTGACAGTCGCTAGAGGCGCTTCCCCGACGTTCAATGCGAAAATCGCATTGAGCACGCATAACGTCCATAAGAAAGCATTGCATGCACATTTGGCTCCACTCGGGAGCTGACGTCGGAGGGGGAGGAGAGGTCACCAGCGCCGAGGGAGCCCAGCCCTGGATAAAGGTAAGAGGTTTTAACCCCTTCAGCCCAGCAGGAGGGGGGCCCTGAGGCTGAGGGGACCCTAAGGATTATATAGGGTTTGTTTTCCTGACACTATGGTGGTCCTTTAAGTCCTTAAGTCCAAAACTGCTAAACCCCAAAAATGTTTAGACAGGAAGAGGCAAGGCTATCGGCCAAATGGTAAAATTTGGCGAAAAGAATGCAAAATCCTATTCAAAGTAAAGTTGAATAAACGGACGGTAAAAAGTACCGAACCGTGCGCATGCGTGATTTGCAGATCTTGATAGAAAACCCACAAATAGAAGATAGTTTGCGGGAATTAAAATTGATGTAAATCCACGAACTGGAAAAACTAGCAAACACTGTGCATGCGCAAAATCTTCTAGTTAGAAAAGGCCGCAAATGGAAAAATAAGCGCTAGAAAAGTGACAGGGTAAATAAATATCAAATAAAGTATAAGTTGTAACATGGAATAAATAAGATGAGACCCACCTCAGGCCCCAAAAGGTTTACCTAAAGGGACCAGGGGGCAAAGGTAAACGCAAGGAGAGCATTTATTGAAATAGTAATACTTGGATAAATATAAATTTGAAAGAAATGAATAGTGAAATACCAGTAAATAAATTAAAATGGTAACTTAAAATAATAAGTAAACTACAACAAAAATATAAACAGTATTATATCAATATCCCACAGTTAAGAGAACAATGGGAGCAGTGTACTTAACTGAGGGAGCAGCAAAGAAAGAGGAAGTGATCTAATGGTTACCGCCTACTATGCCAAGGACTGGATGCTGATTGGCTGTTCCGGTTACTAGGAAGATTGACCTCTGATGTTATATATATGTTGTTTGATTATTTTTAATGTTATATTTCTGATCTGCTATGGGAAATAAAGAAAAAGTGAAGCATAATAGGAGTCACAGTGTCTTTATAAAATCAGTACTTTTATATTTAGGGGCAGAAACACCACCCTGGATGTCACTCAGACAGACAGGGAGTTATTCTTCCTCTTCTATTAAACCCACACAGTTATCTTTTCTAGAGCGAGCCTACCTTTCCCCCTTCTTAATGAGCTGTACTATAAGTCATTGTGAAGCATTGGAAAGCTTCTCAGTGAGAAGCCTCTGACTGGTCATATTTCCAGTGCAGATAAAGGTCTGTAACTTTGAAAGAGGGAAGGCCGTGCATAGGCTGCAGACAACAGGTTTGCAGCTTTTGCAAGCTGTTTTTTTTCCGAATACCAAAAAGAAAACATAAAGTGGAAAATACAGGCATGTTTTCTTTAGGGATATATCTTAGAGCCTATGACAAATAATTGGGAGAGTGGGTGGGACAATGGTCCCTGTACACTGAGGTAAGACTAACCTGTGAAATTGCTGTCCTATATAGGCTTCTAGAACAGCAGGTGCTCTAATGACAATGCTAGTCAATTACATTATCGCTTTTTTTGTTTGCTTGTTTTTTGCACCACCAGTGCTACGAAAATCCAGTAAAAACCACCATAGACATTCTTGCATCTTTCTATCCTACCTTGACATAACCTGACCCCCCTGACTTAACTATGTCCATAAATGGACAGTTACAGTGATTTCTACAATGAAAGTGCGTTACAGTTCTCTTGAAATCTGCATATTTATAAAACGAAACAAAGGTGACACTCTGTTAACCCCGGAAGCTCCTCAGCAGACACCAGAAGTGCATTCATGGTGGAACGGTCCTTTAAATTTGCAGTTTCCTGGTGAATCCTGACAGCTCACTGTTAAGTGAATAATCCTACAAGAATCTGCTCCTTTAACCCGAGTAGCCAAATAAACCTGTGAATTAATGGATAAAAAGATTTATTTTGAGCGGAAACAAGATCAACTCCTTCGTAACAAATAACTGGAGTAAAATTAGAATATAAAAAAGTAAACCAAAGCCTTCAGTATGAAATGATTAATGGACAATAGCCGCCAGTCATGTTATGAGCTCCCTAGCCCTAGTGCAGGCATAGGCAACCTTCGGCACTCCAGATGTTTTGGACTACACCTCCCATGATGCTTTGCCAGCATTATGGGTGTAAGAGCATATTGGGGGATGTAGTCCACAACATCTGGAGTGCCGAAGGTTGCCTATCCCTGCCCTAGTGTGTCCAAAACGTAGATCCACCAGATGTTGTAGAACTACAACTCCCATCATGCTTTGCATGCCTTTAGAATGACAAAGCATGATGGAAACTGTAGTTTTAAAACATCTGGGGATCTACAGTATGGGCACTCCAGCCCTGGCCTATTGTTTTTAAGGGATTAGAGGGTTGTTCATAAGTAGAGGTTTGTATTGTTAAGAAAGCTTATTGAAAAAAAAAAAAAAAGAAAAAAAAACCCTCTGCCAGCACACGCCAATCAGAGCCTACGCCCTCCCAGGAAGTGATCGTTTGACCTGTCCCCGTGCTCAGGCAGTTCCTTTCCGACTCCACGTGTTTCCGCTGTGGCTGCGAGTGAACATGGCGGCGGTGTCGGTAGAGCATGTGTTGGCCCAGGCTGAGAAAGACGAGGCGGAAAAGCTGAAACTGATCACGGTGCAGAAAGAGCTGGACGTCCAGTTCGACCTGGGCAACATGCTGGCCATAGACCCGAACATGCTGAACACCCGAGCTGTAAACCAGCAGAACCGAGAGCAGTTCCTGCGATCCCTGGCCCGGGACAACACGCAGCTCCTCATTAACCAGCTGTGGAACCTGCCCACCGAGCGGGTGGACGAGGCCGTAGTGGTGAAGCTTCCCGATGCCAGCACACGGTTGCCCAGGGAGAAACCCATCCCCAAGGCCAAGGCTCCCACCCGCTGGGAAGAGTTCGCCAAACTTAAAGGCATCCAGAAGAAGAAGAAGACCAACCTGGTGTGGGATGAAGTGCACAAGAAATGGAAGAGGCGATGGGGCTACCAGCGGGCAAATGATAACACCAAGGAGTGGCTGATTGAGGTACCTGTCACCGCAGACCCCAACGCTGACCAGTTCAAGAAAAGGCTGGATGCCAAGAAAGAGAGAGTAGCTAAGAACGAGCTGAACCGCCTGCGAAATATCGCCCGATCCTCCAAGGGAGGAAAGGTGCCCGGCGTAGGGCTAACTCCTACCGAGCAACCCTCCAAAACGGAGCTAAGCATGGCTATGCATGTGGCCAAGCGCTCTACCGCTTCCGTGGGTCGTTTCCAGGACAAGCTGCCGAAGGAGAAGGAGCAAAGGAACATGGGCAAAAAGAGAAAGTTTCAACCCCTCATCGGGGACTTTTCTGCCGAGAAGAACAAGCAGCTGGAGATCCTCAAGATTATGGACAGCAAGAAACCCACGATGGATATCACAAAGGCTGTGAACAGACAGATGAGGGAAGAAGACTCAGAGGCAGCTGCCAAGAGGCGAAAATCTTTCAATAAAGGCAGAGGGGGCAAGCAAGGGGCTAACAGGAAGGGCAAAGGGCCTGGTAAGGGCAAAGGACCTGGCAAAGGGAAAGGACCTGGCAAAAAAGGAAAGGCTCATGGGGGTAAATTCGCTGGAGGAAAAAGAAAATAAGTTCTAATATGTTCATTTCCAAAGAGACTGTCTTCATGGAGCACAAGAACTGTGACCTATCCGTCAATTTACAGTGAAGGGCACTTATGATAAAATATACTGCCCACTGAGACTTTATAGAATTCTCATCTGTTGAAATAATTGTTAAAGGTTAGTCCATGGTTTTTGATGGACCATCAAAGCCCTGAGCTCACATGCCATAGATCTTCTTTAAGTGCCCTTCTGATTAAGTATAATAGAACTTCTAATTAAAGTATATTTATGTTCTATTGAAGTTTCACTGCCCCTATACTTTGTCCATAATGAAATAATGTGTACGAAACATAAAGCATATGTATTTTTTTTTTATTGTTTTGGAGGAAAACTGCACAACTAAAAAAAATACACAAGGTGCATGTGCACTACACCAATCTAGGTGTAGGTATAATATTAAAGAGGTCATCTAATTTTTGACTCCTGTTATATATTTTTCAGTCTTTTGTAAATAGTGAATTCAGATAGGAAGACTCTTTCCATACCAGGGTAATATGGTTCAGTTATGGGCATTACATTCTGGCAGATAGAGGCAGCTGACTAAAGCAATTCCAACAAGTGCTGTATGTGTATAGACTGCCACTTTTCGTGAGCTCTTGTCACTTCCTGGTTTACTGATAGGTCTTGAATACACAGCAGAGGCTTAAAATTTGAGGCAAATGGGAACCTCAAATAGGCTTATTTTGTTTTCAATGTATATTTTTCTATCTTTTAACCCCTTAAGGACGGAGCCAAATGTACACGTTGTGAACGAAACAAAATGTAAACAAAACCTGGCATTTGCGCTACATGTCTGTCCAAGCGTAATTCAACTCTTTCATATTAAATACACCCACCCTTATTATATATCATTTTATTCAGGGGAAACAGGGCTTTCCTTTAATATCAAATATTTAGCTATGAAACAATTTAATATGAAAAAATGGGAGAAAATAAGATTTTCTTTTTTTAGTTCTACATGACATTTTAACTGTCAATGTCATAATACTGTTTGCTTTTACTGCAATAAAATACACATTTGTATTCAGAAAAGTCTCACGTGTAAAACCGTACCCCCTATGTACAGGTTTTATGGAGTTTTGGGAAGTTACAGGGTCAAATATAGCTATGTGAGGACCTCTAGCATCGCTCAATTCCCCATAGAAAAGCATTGAAATTTTTTTTTCAATGCTTTCCTATGGGGAGCTCTAATGCGCAATGCCGCGCATGCACATTAGGTCTCCCCGGCCGGTGGGCGGGATCAGCGGCGGAGGAATCACCCCTTCAGCAACTGGGGATTGGGGGGTGGGAGGGAGAGGAGACCTGCAGTGCCAGGAAAACGGATTGTTTTCCTGGCACTGGAGTTTCCCTTTAAGCCAGCCTCTAGTGGCGGTCTTCCTGACAGTCACTAGAGGTGCATCTGCAACGCTGGAGGCATATTATGCCTCTCGCGCAGAACGTCCATAGGAAAGCATTGAGAAATGCTTTCCTATGAACACTATGAATGCGTTTGCGACACTTGCTGCGCATTCCACTCCGCTGTCAGACGGGGGAGGAGAGGTCACCAGCGCCGAGGGTGCCCGGCACACGAATAAGGTAAGCTGCTGAAGGGGTTTTAACCCCTTCAGCGCCACGGGACGGGGACCCTGAGGGTGGAGGCATCCTCATGGCACTATAGTGTCAGGAAAACCGCTTTATTTTCATGACACTATAGGGATCCTTTAACTCATGGGTCCTCATACTCCGTCCCCCCAGATGTTACTGTACTACAACTCCCATGATTCTATGGCTATCTATGTAATTCAAAGAATCATGGGAGTTGTAGTTCAGCAACATCTGGGGGGCCGGAGTTTGAGGACTCATGCTTTAACTGCCAGTATATCTGGCAGAGAAAGCAAATATCTTTTATCGTTCTAGAATTAATAAAGAGGCCTATAGGTACCACAACCACTCTGGCTTGGTTTAGTGATTATGATGCCAGGAGCTGGCCCCCAATGGACTGTCATAGTGTTTCTGAATGGTTTAACTCACTTTGCTGCTTCTGACACCTTGACCTGTCTAATCTACTAAAGTGGGAATTCATTCTTCCACATTATCATACCAGGTTTATACAGTATGCATTGGCTGAGAGGCACCAGCAGACACTTGGAATAAATTAATATTGTTTATACTTGGAATGGTATTATATAAGAATGAACTTATGCATTATCAGAACGCAGACTAGAAAGCATTGTGTGGGCTCAACAAGGTAACCATTAAACTGTTCTGTTAATAGTTTTTATAGATAATCAGTGGATGTCACCCAATACTTTTTGGTGTGGTGTAGTGATTATGGAATTTAGAGGGTCTTTTTAATAAACACAAAAGTAAGGTACTTGTATGGTGTATAATTGAAAACAGAAATGTTACCATGAATCCTTATCGGTAGGTTTGTCTATTATTTATAAAGCGCCAACAAATTCCGCAGCGCTGTACAATGGGATACATACACTTCTTTATGCTTTTAAAGTCATAAACAGTATTTCTTAATCTTTTTTAGACACAAGTAAAATGTCACATGTACTCAAAGCTTTATTCGAGATATATAGGTACTTCAAGCTAAGCTGACCATTTTAATTTAGTTGACAGATGGGAATCCCAATTCTAATATGGCCTTTTTATTTATTTATTTTAAGGATTGTATTTAACCTATCACGTCACTGACATCAAGGTAAAACCAATTACACTGAGCACAACACACACTAAACCTCATAGTTCAACCTTGAACAGCAAGGATAGCCTTGCTGGTCGGAACGTAAATTCGTATATGAAAATAGAGGAGAGGGAGAATGTGGTAGTGTTGTGCTGAAACCAACGTACGGGTAGGCCTGTATAAAGAGGGCCCACCAGGGATAATGTGATAAGTTAGTAGAGGGAGTGGTGGGTGGGGTCACGAACAGGAAAACGGCATAGGTACGTAGAGATGGGGGGACTTTATATAGGGAAAACTCCTCCCACAAATTCAGGCCTATGGCCTATACTTGTGGTTGTAACTTAAATTCGTATATGAAAATAGAGGAGAGGGAGAAAGTTGGTAGTGTTGTGCTGACACCAACATACGGGTAGGCCTGTATAAAGAGGGCCGAAAAGGTATTGGTGAAAAACACTCCTTTAGCATGCTGACAAAGATAAACTTGAGCGATTCCCTGAGCTCTATGAAGCAGAATCTAAGAACTGAATATAGGGATAGCCATCTATCCGATTTAAGGATATGGACTGGGCTGTGTGGATGCCTGTGAAGTGTCTGTAACAGAGTTAGGTGGAAGCTGTTTCGTATGGGTATGCGTGTCTCTAGTATTAACATGGGCCACATGTTGCATGGTTGGCAGGTTTTTTTTTTTTTTTTAAACTATCCAATAGAGCCTTGGTAGCTGTAGAGTGCATCTACTTTCTTTTAAAGTTAATTTAATCATCTTAATCATATTTTTGAATGTGGAAGATAAGTGTGCATATTAGATTTGCCTAATATTTAATATATGTGAATTTATTTTGTTCACTCTGGGACTATGATGATTTTATTTTCATACTGTGTCAAGAGTTGTGAATAGAATGGGGTTGAAATAGAATGCAGACCTGTTATCAGCATGGGTGTTCCCATTTGAAACCGAAAAAACTATATATATATATATATATATATATATACGTAAAACATGGGCTAGCACTCACGGTCTTGTAGTTAAAAGTTGGCAATCTTTATTGAGTTATTCCATAAAATCGACGTTTCAGCACACGTCCGGGGCTTTCCTCAGGTTCAACAAACAATCCATGTTTGTTGATGCTGAGGAAAGCCCCAGACGTGGGCTGAAACGTCGATTTTATGGAACAACTCAATTAAGATTGCTACCTTTTAACTACAAGACCGTGAGTGCAAAGACTGGACTATCTTTATATATATATATATATATTTGTGTACCGGGTAATTAGAGGACGTACAATTAAAAGTAGTTCGATAAGGACCAAAGTCGGTTGAGGTGTGCTGAAACTGACGAGAGGTCAGGCCTGCAAAAGTGGGCAAAAATATAAGACAAGGTTAAGATTAGCAATCATTTAGTCACATTATTGAAAAGACAGTCTGATTTCTATCCTGGGTTAGGAATGTTCCTATTGTAAACCAACTTACCATATTTCCACTTATGTGTGTCGTAACACGCCCATTAGAGGCTGCTGTTGTATTGACATGGAATGAGTGGCCCGAGTAGGAGGAAGGATTAAGGCCTGGATGGAGTATTAAAGTAACAAATATCACAGTTATTAAAGATAGTAAGGTTAGTTATAGACCTGGCTAACCTGGTCTTTGATTACGAGTACAAATTTTGAACCGGGCACAATTTAAAATGCCCGACTGATATGTTTGGTATGAGGAGTAGATAATGTAACGATTGTTGATTTCCTGAATTCTTTAAGCATGGGTAAAGGTTGAATGTTTCCGACAGCAAGATTCTTTCTTTTGGCCTCAAGCAATCGTAGAAAGCCAAGTGAACTGCTGACTTAAATTAGTAGGGTTATTAAAGGGAGGCTTAACGGTTAATTTGAAAACTCCCCCTAAGATTTACTGTTGATAGGGAGTGAATTGGATGATTTGTGGAGTTTTGATCTCTTGTCAGCGCCCTTACTGAATAAGAAAAGAAAATGGGAGCTGTTGGGTATATTGTCTACATGTAATGTTACATTCCTGTAGGTATAGTTTTAATTGTATTGTGGGTTAGTTTCAAAGAGATGTGGCAAAAATTGTGCAAGCAACCATTTATAATTGGAACACATTTATTATCTTGAATCATACACAATACTTACACATATCGTAAGCTTTAGAGTAAGTTTGCTTAGTGTTAGTAGACAAATCTACCTGCGTAAAAACTCTAACTTAAGGCTTGATTAGACCTTTTTGAACTGTAGAGGATCTCTGGACTGAATGTTCTTTAAGCTCAACCGTTACATTTAAGCAAGGCCCGACTTCAGGACTTTAGGAGTGGCCAGGGCGGGGGATACTGTGAGGAACCTGGGATGACAGGGTTAGAGTGTTTATTAAAGATAGAACGTCACCTGGAGCTATTTCTTGTAGCATGCTGAGGGAGGGGGTAACAGAGTGACTGGTGACAATGACTGAGGGAGAGTGTTAGATAAACTTTTTTTTTTTTCATTCCCTGGTGGTCCAGTGTCCTGGCTCCCTGGTAGTCCGGTGGTCTGTCTCTCCAGTCTGCAGCTCCGCTGGGTGTGAGCTGCAGACTGTGCTGTTTCTCGTGATATCCAGAAGTCAGAGCGTTGCCGTGGTAACTAGCAGCAACGCTCTGATTGGCCAGAGATCGCGAGATACAGCACAGTCTGTAGCTCACACCCAGCGGAGCTGCAGACTGTACTGGCTCTCTCCCCGGGCAGACAGGAGGGGCCTTGCACCCGGCGACACACGGGGCAAGCCGCCAGCCCCCTCTTGATGTCGGGTCCTCGGTCCATGACAAGTCACTCTGCCCTAAGGCACTCTGCTACTAGGCCGCAGCAGGGCTGAAAATATAAACTAACTACCTGCCTGGCAAGGATGCAGTATGGGTAGGGGTGAGATAGTTATGGCAGAGTGAGGGGGTGACAGGTGGCAGAACGTGGGAGGGAGGGGGTGACAGCGTGGGAGGTAGGGAGTGACAGGTGACAGAACGTGGGAGAGAGGGAGTGACAGGTTGCAGAGTAATGGAAGGAGGGAATGGCAGAGTGAGTGAAGGGGTGGCAGAGTGACTAGGTGACATAGTAAGGGAGGGGGTTCCTAGTGGCAGAGTGTGGGAGGGAGGGGGTGACTGGTGACAGAGTGAGGAAATGGGTGACTGGTGATACAGTGAGGGAGGGGGGTGACAGTGACTGAGGGAGGGGATGACTGGTGACAGAGTGACCGGGGGAGGGAGGGAGTGACTGGTCGCAGAGGAAGGGAGTGACTGGTGGCAGAGTGAGGGAGGGGGTAACTGGTGACAGTTACTGAGGGAGGGGGTGACTAGTTACAGTGACTGAGGGAAGGGGTGGCAGTGACTAAGGGAGGGGATGGCTTGTGACAGTGACTGAGGGAGGGCGTGATTGAGGGAGGGGATGACTGGTGACAGTGACTGAGGGAGGGGGTGACTGGTATATATATATATATATATATATATATACACACACATACATACACTGCTGTGTGTGTGTGTGCTGCGTGAGGGTGGTTTGAGGGTTTTGTGGGTTTTGTGTGTGTGTAAGGGTGCTATGTGTGAGGGTGCTGTTAGTGTGATGTGTGTGTGAGGGTGCTGTTTGTGTGTGAGGGTGTTTGTGTGTGTGTGTGTTTATTAGGGTCCTGTTAGTGAGCTGTGTGTGAGGGTGCTGTTTCTGTACTGTGTGTGAGAGGGTGCTGTATGTTTGAGGGTGCTGTATGTGCGAGGAGGCTCTATGTGCGAGGGTGCTGTGTGTGTGTGGGTACTGTATGTGTGAAGGTGCTGTATGTGTGTGCTGTTTGTGTGTGTGTGCGTGTGTGGGTGCTGTATGTGTGTGTGTGGTGTATGTTTATGAGGGTGCTGTATGCGTGTGTGCTGTATGTGTGTGGGTTCTGTATGTGTGTGCTGTGTGTGGGTGCTGTATGTGTGTGTGGGTGCTGTATGTGTGTGCTGTGTGTGTGGGGGTGCTGTATGTGTGTGTGCTATTATTATTGGGTGCTGTATGAGTGCTGTATGTGTGTGTGGGTGCTGTGTGTGTAGATTGCTATGTGTTGAGGTGCTGTGTGTGTGTGTGTGGGTGATGTGTGTGAAGGTGCTGTATGTGTGTGCTCTGTTTGTGTGTGTGTGTGCTGTATATGTGTGAGGGTGCTGTTTGTGTGTGTGTGTGTGCTGTATGTGTGTGTGTGGGTGCTGTATGGGGGGTGGGGGTACATTACTTAATATCGTCCGAGTCTTCTGACCGGTACACTGCGGTGGTGGGTTATATAGTTGAGGGGCCATCTTCCTCTATAGAGATATATATAAACAAATAATTAAATTATAAATTGATATATCAAAAAATTTAAACCAAGCAACTGTACATGTAAAGAATTTCCTTAAAACTTCACATTCAACAGTACTTAAAAATAAGTGGAAGCTCTATTCATAGAAAACCTTAAAATAGGTGATCTATATATATATATATATATATATATATATATATATCTCATGAAATAAAAACACCTACATATGCACTATTTCAATTGGTGAAAAACACTCCTATAGATAATCAACCGCATATAGGTCTCAGTGTGTGTTATTTCAAATAACTGTTAAAATAATGAAGAGTCCAAAAGTCTTTGGGTAACAGTCTCTTAGGGTTAATCTTGTCTCACAGCTAGGGTCCAGCATATGATACACTGTGTAACACAGCAGTTTTTGTTCCTTAAAAAGATGCAAAAAAGGACCTCATAACGTAACAATGTATTTATTTAAAACAAACATAAAAACAAGACAAACTCTCCCCCATAGGCATGCACAGCCTATTGCATTAGGGTGTGCACCCTAAAGCACACACACATATATATATATATACACACACATACATACACTGCTGTATGTGTGTGTGCTGCGTGAGGGTGGTTTGAGGGTGTTGTGTGTAAGGGTGCTGTGTGTGAGGGTGCTGTTAGTGTGATGTGTGTGTGAGGGTGCTGTGTGTGTGTGAGGGTGTTTGTGTGTGTTTATTAGGGTCCTGTTAGTGTGCTGTGTGTGTGAGGGTGCTGTGTGTGTGTTTGTGAGGGTGCTGTTTCTGTGCTGTGTATGATGATACAGAACATAAGGACCTTTGAAAATTAAAGATCTTAAAGGACCACTATAGTCACACAGACAACTTCATCTCAGTGCTGTGGAATTTGTTGGCGCTTTATAAATACCAGTCATAAATAAATACATCTCAATTAAGTTATCTGGGTGCACACACCCTTTAGTTTTAACACTTCAATATAAACAGGGCAGGCATGACCACTAGGCCAACGGTACACAGGCACCACGCCCGGATGACTGACAGAAGGTGAGTGCACCGAATAGCGCTCCCCTCCTTCCGGTCTCTGTATGTAGCATGGCCGTGTGGGGACTGGGATAAAATAGCGTGTTTTCCTCTAGCTGGCTGGTCTGACAAGAAGGGAGGGCAGAGAGGGGGTTAATAAGACACATGGAGGGGCTGGGGGTTAATGAGACCCCCCCAGCCCCTGGGGAGGAAGGACGGCACCTTCGTCTCCCTGGGACTCACACTGCCGCTGGGGAGGAAGGATGACATCTTCGCCTCCCTGGAACTCACACTGCCGCTGGAGAGGAAGGACGGCGCCTTCGTCTCCCTGGTACTCACACTGCCGCTGGGGAGGGAGGACGGCGCCTTCGGCTCCCTGGTACTCACACTGCCGCTGGGGGTTTCTCCCGACGTGCCAACCCCCTTGTCCACTCTGTTTCAAACGGCAAGTACTCTCCCACTATTTTCCTCACGAACTGCACGGTTTTCTCAGGGGGGTTGGGTCCTAAGTAAACCAGCAGCGCGGTAACCTCTCTGTCAAAAGCCTCCTGAGTGTTGCTGGGTGCTATGCTTGCTCTGACGAAGTTAGTTCCTTAGTAGATAGGGGCGCTGTATGGATACTAGCGTTACCCTAAATTATAAATCCACTGAGCTGCTTTGCCTCGCACTAGGACGCCATCCCAATACACCATGTGTATTCCACTTATGTCTATGTATGAGGCTTTGTAACAGGAAAACTGATATAGGCTGCATAATTACTCCACGTAGTAGGGGTCTGTATTTTCACAATTACCCCTTTAGTATTGTAATACACCACCACTTTAGTAAACAATAGGGGACAAAGATGGACATTGCTTCTATAATAAACCCGTGGGGGGACGGTATCTTCCGGGTATTTCTCATGGACACCACATATACACACGACGACCTGACTTGTAGGACCTTGGTAGTACTGTTCTAGTGTCACATATCAAACCCCGTCCACAATGATATACTTCATATTGGATGCAAGATTCACACCAGATAGGAATGCTAATAACTGTATTTCACCTCCTTTAATTCAGATTGACCAACTGCTCCTGGTCATATCCCCCTCCCCCACACATGTATGCACGCTTAAACATATTGGCGTATACTAACATACGTACTTACCAATTATTTAACACACTTAGGTTTTTTTAACCTATCTTGCGATATCATATAGGTTCTCGGGCTGACAGATTAACCTCACCCAAGGCAGCTATCGAAGGTTTTTCTATGCACCTATCCTTGGTGCTCATTCATACACAGTTTCTTCCAAACTCACTGTTTTTTGACTGTATATAGTTGTTTTATATTTGTATTCGTTTTTAGATTTGTATTTGTTTTGTATATTTCATTTGTTGCTGTGCTCCGCTGGGGGAGAAGAGTGGACGGGAAAGCTCAGTTCATAAGAGTTGGAGAATGGCTGCCCTACGTATAGTTACTTTATATGTGAGAAGATTAAATTCACCTAAAAAACATTCCTTGGCCCTATTAGAAGTACACAAATTATATGCTGACGTGGCATTCCTTCAGGACACCTACTTTAAAAAAGATGTAGCTCCGAATTTTAGAAATAGAAAGTACCCTACTGGCTATTTTGGCCATTATTCAGAGAAAAAAGCACGAGAGGTGGCCATATTAATCTCAGGCCAAGTATCATTCACATTCATAGACCATAAAACTGATAATTCAGAGAGAGTGTGGATGGTAAAGGGAAACGTAGGACACCATATTATCACTTTTGTGAACCTCTATCTACCCAACAAAGCCCGATGCAAAACCCTTAAAAAGGGTTTACATTTGGTAGAGCAATTTACCGAGGGTATACTTATAATGGAGGGCGATTGTAACCTCTCCCTTGACTTGGCCCTAGACACCACTTCTGTAACACCCACTCGACAAAACCCATTGCGCAAACAATTCTCCCACCAACTAGACCGCAAACAGCTTTATGATTGCTGGCGGATATGCCATCCCATTACAAAAGATTACTCCTACTACTCTCCAGCGACACACACATATTCAAGGTTGGATATGCTGTTTTTACCACATAGGGTTTTACACTTGGTTACATACTGCTCCTATGGCCCTATCACATGGTCTGATCATGCGCCCCAGTCTCTTGCTGTTCAAGTACCCTCCCTACCCTTGAAAACGGAATGGCTTGTTATTAAATGACCAGACCATACTGACACAGCTCCAGAGTTCAATCCAACTTATGAAAACACCTCTCCGTCTATTTCCTCTCTGATAACTTGGGAGGCACACAAATGTGTACTTTGGGGTTTAATCATAGCTATGGAATCCAAACAGAAGAAATCAGGGAAAATAAAATAAAATCACTTACAGATGACATACAGGCTTTGGAATTAGCTCATAAACACAAAGACTCTTTTGTAATGTATAAAACACTGATAGCAAAGCGGTCAGAACTACAACAACTCTTAAACTCACAAGTCAAGCGCAAACTACTCTGTACAAAACATTCCTATTACTACACAGGTAGAAAATGCAGATGCCTTTTGGCATCAGTTTTGAAACAAAGCAGACAGACAACATTTATAGCCAAAATTAAACACCCAGATAAGGTACTATCACACGCACTACCAGATATTATGGTATATTAAAAATCTATTCTGAACTATACAATTTGAGGGACTCACCTCCATCGACAACAGACATAGAACACTTCCTATCAACAAGGGTGCGTAATAAAATCCCAATTAATATGCTTTTTGGGGAGCTTTTTTGGTATAAATTTACCAAATTTATATGGGCAATCAAACACCCACGGATCGCATTTAATATACTCGCGAGTCAAAACCCAAGGTGAATTGAGCATACCATAAAGTGATTATGCTTACTAGGATCTATGAATGGGCTAACCCACACCCACAGACAATGGGTAGAGTTGGAAAACTCCTTCTTTGAAACCCCAATTCATACGATACCATTGCTTAAAACTGGACAAATGTTTCTCTCACTTCAACAGTCTCTTCATCCTACCATTATCCCCAGGCTCCGCATTTGGAAACTCATGAGACAATCCTCCTTCATATCTCCTTACCCATCTCCACTATTTCCATTGACTGACAACCCACTGTTTCATACCGCTCTAGAAGGCAATTCAGTTAAGCCACTTAATTCCCTTATAAGAACAGGATACCCCACGTCACTGCAAGCTTTTAAATATGCACAACTTTCCCACTTCATAGGTTCAACACCCCAACTTCTCAAGGGATCCCGTACACTCTCAAACTTTGATCTCTACTGTGAATCTCATTAGACTTAGACGCCTTAGACGTAAACACTTATAGATATTTTATAAGATGTTACACGATGGGCTCAAGGGACAATTACCACACTGCACGTCATGCTGGAATAGGGAACTTAACATCAATCTCACTCCTAGAGAATGGGACATTATATTTCAAGGCATACACAAATCATCGGTGAGCAATTCTATACAGGAGAGTAACTATAAGAGAATATCCAGAAGGCACTACTCACCAACTAACCTACAAAATCTCTTTCCACACACGACAGATACATGCTGGAGATGTGGTCAACCAGGGAGAATGACCACTTACGTTTGGTGGACTTGTCCCATCATACAAACTTACTGACGGAGAGTGAAATGATCCTGGCACACACCCCTAAAAATATGCTGTTCCTATTATACTCCAATCCTACTCCTAAACCACAACATGGTATTAATGACCCACTTGTTGACAGCTACCAACCTCCTCATTCCAGTTAAATGGAAAAGTACTCACGCCCCTTCCCTACGAGTGGCTACAAAAGGTAGAATCACTCAGGGTGATGGAGGAAATAATGGCTTCTCTAACTAGTAAATATCTAACATACTCCTCTACTTGGGAGCCTTGGTAAAATACTTAAACACTAACCCTTCTTTTTTTAGATAAATACCGAAATGCTTAAACACCCTACGTGACTGGCAACACTTCATGCTCAGGTGAAGTCTACTGGGAAGGAGGACGCTAGTCAATAACTAGAAGTTTACATATGCATGGAGAGACAGAATGTGAAATCTTACAAGAGCCTCTATCATAATGTAACTTTTGTTTTTTGTCTTCCCACGCTTGAAATTATTTAAGGTTCCAGACACCCGGAAAATTCACAATACATATTATTGGCCACGGGGTGCTGCATTCTGTCTGCTTTTTCCTTCAGCGAAGCAACTCAAAGACCCTAGTTAGGGTGGTTGGACTAATATGTCCATGGTTCTCATGTTTGCAAAACAACAAAATTGTCATGCGATTTTTGTGCTTTTCTGATATATCCTACACTACACAAGCATATCATACTTATGTTAAACCTTAGTGACATGTAATATGTCCGGTGGGGGCCACGGACTGGAACACTACCGAATGGATAATCATAACCTATCACCACCTGGCCTCCTTACATAGGAATGGTGTGTGAAATTAAACCGGGAGCTGATATGTAAACAATATGTCATGTTAAATGTTATATACCACTGTACTATAACAATGTGATACGATATGAAAGATTGTTACACTATCACCGGTATACGACTACAATTCGTAATATTGTCTCTGTTTTTGATAACCTCAAGTCATGTACATACCTTGTTCAATCTTATCTTGTCTTACGCTGTGAAATGTATTTAGCTGTGATTAAACCACAGTACAGTGTATGCTTTCGAATGTAACCACAAAATGCATAAATAAAAAAAATAAAAAAATAAATTGTCTTGCACCAGCCCTGAATATAAAATATTGCGGTTTTGTAGAAACGTCAATGTCTTCCTGACAACTACTAGAGGCGCCTCCTCTACACCACCCAAGTAAAACTCAGTTATGTGACCAAATGCAGGGTATAAGAAAGCACTGAATTCAATAAGAAGCATTTGGATTGGACCATTGACTCGAGAGCCAGATGCTGTGGTGTATTTAGGATTTGTGCTGCCCCAGGCAGGACGGTGCTCGGGCAACCCCCATAATTTAAATTTTCCCCACCCCTTCTAGTCAAGGCCGCACTTTGATTGACAGACGCACACACTCACTAATAGATGCATACACTCATTGACAGACATACACTCTCATATACCCTGACAAACAATGACAAACACACACACACTCACTGATTTGACACACTGATAGACAGACACACACTATTACTCGGACACACACTGACAGACGCACACTCTCACTGACAGACGCATGCACTGACAGACGCACAAACTCACTGACCGACACATACACACTCACTGACCGACACATACACATTCACTGACCGACACACACACACATTCACTCACAGACACACACATTCACTTAGACACACACATACATACACACACTCATAGACACACACACACATTCACTCAGAGACACACACACACACACATTCACTCACAGACACACTCACAGATACACACACTCATTCACTCACAGACACACACACACACACACACACACACACACACACAGACATTTCCCCCAACACTCACAAATTATAATTTTTTTTATTTTAAATCCACTCAGCCTCCCTGGGAGAGCTGGAATGGATTACTTACCTGTCCAGTAGGGCTGCTGGGCAGGCAGGCAGGGGGCAGACAGGCTGAGTAGGCGGCGAGGGAGCTCTGATTTTCCTGCTCAGCTCCCTCGCGTGCTGCTTAGTGATGCCGGGAGCCGACTCCCGGCTTCATTAAGTGGCGTGGAGGGAGCTGAGCAGGAAGAGTTTAGGTGAGTATGCTCCCTCACTCGCCAGCCTCAGGTGGGGGGGGGGGCTAAAAAGTGGCCAGCTGGCCAGCTCTTGAGCCCCCCAGGTCACGAGGCAAGCAAGGGATCTGCCTGGGCATTTGGGGGTGGCTTTTTTTGCAGCCCCCTGCAAAGTGCCACCGAAGGCAGATGCCTTGTTTGCCTCGTGTAAGATACGTCCCTGGCCAGATGATGGTCTGGGAGGCAGAGTGGGTGGAAGCAGCACTGCAGAAAAGAGTCAGTAAAAAGCTTTTTTCGGATTTTTACTCTAAATGGGTGGTGAGGGGATGTATTGGAACAAAAACTATTCACTCACTAGGAAACTATAGCGTTAGGTATACAGTTTTGTGTTTTGTATTCCTTACACTATAGTGTTGCTTTAAGAAGGAAGCACCTCTAGTGGCTGGCTCTGTCTCATAGCAACCAGAGACAGGTTTTCACCCAAATGTAAACATTGCTGTTTCTCAGAAATAGCAATGTTTTACATTGTCTTAAAAAAGGGACAGTGTCTATTCACCAAATCGACTTAATTAAAATGCTGTGGTTTGGGTGCTTAGAGTGTTCCTTTAAATAAACTGACAAGTACATATTTGGTAAATGTAGAGGATAAATAAACATAATATTTAAAATTCTGAGAAGTGACAAGTATCCTTTAATGCAAGATTATGCGTAGGTTATTTTAACATTTTAACCACCTCTAGCAGCTGTGTAAATGTGACATTGTTTTTCTATAATGTGTAACTATTTCAAAACATAATACATTCTGATTGTGGATAAGATGTTTTCAATTCTTACTTGAGGATATACAGTATTTAAATCCAATTGAAGCTTTTATTGTTGGTATACTATGGTTTGAAGAAAAACTCTTTCGGTCTCCTTAAAAGAGAGAGAAAATGTATATCAGAACTTAACCAATTTACATCTTGATAGCAAAGATTGTTAAAAAAAAACAAAAAACTATTCATATCTGCTAGGTCCCTACTGTGACAATGGCTGCTTTGAGTATTAATTCTCAGAACGTTAGATGTTCTAGCGATCTTGTAAAGTACCTGGGATAAGCCCTTATAATACTTGCACATTATTATGCTTTTTATATAATTTTACCATTTGAATTCTGAAGCGTTTGTGATGAAAGTTTACTATGCCGGGTGCGTGAAAGCATTTTATGACTAATGCTAAAGCATTGTATCATTCTCTTTTTTATATGGCTAAGTAATGTTTACTGCAATATTTTACATTTTAGCCATTTCTCACTAGGAATAGAAAGGAATTTTATTAAAGGACATGGAGACATATTATGCATTATCTCGTTCTTTATTCTTCAACAGCAAAGAAATGATACTGTAAATATTTATAGAAAAAAATTTAACATATACCCCCAAAGGGTTAACCAACATACCATATCATCCAATGACAATACTCCTTGTATAATAAATCTGCATGTGACTTTAAGCCACTCCTCTTTCTTTTCTGCTGCCTCCTCAGCTAAGTACACTACCAATTTTCTCCGTGTCATATCATTGCTTTTATGTGTACATAGTACATAGTAGTTCTGTTTATACTTTTATTGGTATCTGTTTGTTAATTTGTTTTCTCGTGTAATTTTGCTAAAGCATTATCGCTCTCTCATTTCCCTCATTTCTCTCATTTCCCTTTCCTGCCGAACTTTTCTCACTGCCACCCCCATTTGCTTAAGATTTTGTATGATGCTAGGCACCTTTTACCCCAGGCTGTATCTAAACCCCCTACCCGTTCCGGAGTGGATGAAGCATCAACTCGGAAGAGTTTCCTTCCCTCTTTGACTCTACTTTGGCTAAATCAGTGACATAAGCCATTTATAATGCTATAGGAATCAGGTGAGACAATCTGTCCGACTCCGTTACTAATGCTCTGATGTCCACTCAGCCAACAGCTCACATTTCTCCACCTAACCACGTAGAGAATAAACTGATAGCTCCCAGTGGGCATAAATCCACCAAAAAGTCTCATTACGTGAACGAGGAGGCCTCCAAAACATTAAAGATGGACAGGGTACATCCTGTCACAGATGATGTTGTTGTACCACAACAAAGAGCCACCAACCAGGCAAATTCGATGAGGAGTTGAGTCTTCCGAATCGAGTCGCAGATGGAGGAGGCACTGATGACGGGACTCTTATGATTCAGGGGAACTTTTCCCTGACCAAAGTTCTTTGTCTGTTCCTTGAGCTGACCCGAATGATAGTGTGGATGGCTCCACCCTTCTTGATCCGCAGGGCGAATCACTCTTTGATCCAGATACCCTCCAACAAGAGCATCTGAGTGTTACCCCTTAGATTATGTGGTGAAATATATTGCCGCACATATTAGAAAGCCATTAGACAAAAATGCACAAGCTAAAATAAGGGCAGAATGCCTGCATCCCATGGTTCCTGATATAACGTGCATCACTGACATGGACCCTAAAATCACCTAATTTCTGGGCAAAACTGTGTGGAAGGCCAAGGAAGGCCTAGATTTCTCCCTGCAGAACTGCAAAGATAAAATTCTTGACATTCTTGGACCCAGTCTTAAAAATTTTGACGTGGACAAAATGAATTTAGTGGGTGGCGCACCAGCGCACTTACTGACCGTCCAATGATCCATGTGCTTGCTAGGCAATGCAAATACGACATTGGCCACTTAAAGACGCAAGGCCCTATTGATTAAACAAGAGCCGAAGCATGTTAACCTTGCTATATCTGAGCCTGGCCCCAGGCAAAAAGCCTCCTTTTTAGAGACAATTTCATTTAAGGCTTGTACTGGGGTTCTCGAGGCTCCGCTCCTTCCAGATTCCAGGTTCCTGAGACCAAGCCCACCTCACCATTCTTCCCTTTCAGGGGCAGGCCTTGGCAGCTTGTGGAGCCAGAAGGTCTTACTTTGGCCGACAGCCTTATGGTGAGTTCACTATCTTAAAATCTTTTTTCCCTATCACTTGTGTGGGCAGACTGTACAATTTTATCGATGCCTGGCACAGGTTAACAACAGATGCTTGGGTCCTATAAACTGTTCTGGGTTGCAGCATACATTTTGTACAATGCCCTGTTAAATTGTTTCTTCCCAGGCGATTGTTTTCTTTGTGCAAGATCATGCCTTAGTGTCAACAGAAATATGGACTCTAGCACCCAAAGGTACAATCGTGGGAAGTTTCCCCTCACACTCCAGGTTTTCTAAGCAACCTATTCCTGGTCCCCAAAAAAGGAGGACAAGTTCGACCAGTCATCAACTTCCCCCCTCAATGTGTTTGTCACATACCACCATTTAAAAATGGAATGTATTGACTTCTTCAGGAATCTTCTCCTTTTGGGGCACTGGATGGTCAAACTCGATTTACAAGACGCATACCTCGCTGCCAATGCCTGAAAATTACCAATTCTGGCAGTTCTGTCTGGTTTGCAATCTCTCAATACAAGTGGCACATTCCAGGAATTCCAAACGTAGTAGCGGATTGACATTCCAGACATCTACGGGATGCCAACAATTTGCAAATGAATCATACTATTTTTCTCCACTTACAATCACTATAGGGCCCTCTGAATATTGATCTCTTCGCATCACAGCTGAACAAAGTTTTTTTAGTTGGAGACCAGATCCAGAGGCTCTGGCATCCGATGCTTTCCTTCAACTGTGCATGAACAGTCGTCATTATGCGTTTCCA